CCTCCGCTGGGCCAGTGCACTGTTGGCTCTCCTCCGCCTCTGCTCTTCCCTTTTCTGCTGGATGCGGGCATCCAGCTTGGAGATGGTGCAGATGCCCCAGATGGAGTCCTTAATTCCCTGTGGACATGAGGAGAGGCTGCGGCACTCCTTCCCACTTCCTGGTTATGGAAGGGGATGAGCCTTGCTGCCCAGAGTGGAGGTGGCAGCACCAGGCTAAGGCAGAGCCAGGGTTTGGAGTGCTGCCTGTTCTCCATAGCCTGGTGACCTAAATCAGTGCCTGTTCCAGCAGCAGCCTCTCTTTGAAGGTGTGATTTCTCATCCAAAATCCACTATTTATAACCCAGAGAGTCACATCTCTCACGGCCCATTTCTTCTGCCTGGCAGAAAGCCCTTCTCCTCCCCGCTAGCCACTACAGGCCAATAAAATAGAATTACATCAAACATTCAGGAGGTGCAAAGCCCTCGTGGCCTGATCATACATCTGAGTGTGATGCTCGTGGCTTTACAGATGACAGCATCCCTGAAACAGCCTCGGAGCCACATCCGTGCAAACCTGTTAACAGAGAAGTGTCAAGAAGTCTCTGCCTCAACTCCTGCTTTAAAAGACTTCTACCAACACCTCTCTAGCACTTATTTCCACCTGTGGGACACATTTGTTATCAAACATTTCACTTCAAAATGAATTGTGAAAGCACTGTGAAATAACTGAGGAGAAAGACTTGGGGGTGTTGGTCCATGAGAAGCTCCCCATGACCTAACTTCAGTGCACTTTAGCCCAGAATTCCCCCGTGTGCTGGGCTGCACCAAAAGGAGCATGAGAAGCAGGTCATAGAGTGGATTCTCCCCCTCTGCTGTGTTCTGCTGAGACGCCCCCTGCAGCCCTGATCCAGCTCTGGGGCAGCAGCACAAGAGGGACCTGGAGCTGTTGGAGCGAGGCCAGAGGAGGCCATGGAGATGCTGCGAGAGCTGGAGCAGCTCTGCTCTGGAGCCAGGCTGAGAGAGCTGGGCTGGGGCAGCCTGGAGAAGAGAAGGCTCCTGAAGGGGAGACCTCAGAGCAGCTCCAGTGCCTAAAGGGGCTACAAGAAACCTGGAGAGGGGCTTTGGGCAAGGGCCTGTAGGGACAGGCCAAGGGGAATGGCTTGAACCTGCCAGAGGGGAGACTGAGCTGAGCTCTTAGGCAGAAGCTCTTCCCTGTGAGGGTGCTGAGGCGCTGGCACAGGGTGCCCAGAGAAGCTGTGGCTGCCCCATCCCTGGCAGTGCTCAAGGCCAGGTTGGACACAGGGGCTTGGAGCAAGCTGCTCCAGTGGAAGGGGTCCCTGCCTATGGCAGGGGGCTGGAACTGGACGAGCTTTAGTGTCCTTTCCAACTCAAACCATTCGGTGATTCTAGGAACCAAATCCTTCTGCTTGAGGCCATGGCCAGTGAACACCAGTTTCTGAACATGAATTACTTCTTAGCATCCCATCAGCAACATTTTTGAGCCTGTGTTTATGCCTGGATGATACAAGATGGTGTGGGAGCACTGAGGTCACATGAAGCCTTATCACTGTGACTCTCTGCAACAGACACACCAACGCCAGCTTGGGAAAACACTTGGGAAGCAACACATCCCACACAGCTACCTCAAACCTAACAGCAGAAAGCCTGCTGACAGGTATCTCTGCCTGACTAAATTGAAGTCTTTGATTAACATACACCCAGAGCCCCTTTTCCTTCCCATTCTTTAATTCCCCTTTGACAAAGCCACGGATGGGAACAGGACCAGTGCCCATGACCAGGGAGCTGCAGTGCATGGACTCACCCTGACAAGGTCATGCAGGAAGGTTTTCACGCTGTCTGCCATCTCGACTCCAGCATCACCTCCGGTTCCAAAACTATCAACTACAGGGAGAGGGGAAAAGCCGAACCCAAACCTCTCTCATCCTGGAGGGATGGGAAACGGATGGAGCCTGTGGAGAGAGAAGACACAAAGGATCGTGACTGGCATTAACTACACAGTGGGATTCCAAGCTAATCCCACCAACAGGCTTCCAGCCCCCCCAAACACACAGGCAGAGAAAGGATCCATCCTGTGTCATTGTATCTCATGTTAGAAACCTCAGTTTCAGGAACAGCCCAGGCTTTAGTTCTATGCTAACACCTCACTGCACCACTCATTTTGGGAAGAGAAAAGCCAGCAGAGCCAGCCCAGGGAGGTGTGAAGGCATCTGTGCTAAGCCCAGCATTCAGTTAACACCATCCAGCTCCACAGCTCCTCTGACAGGGAGGAAACTCCAGGTCTGCACTCAGGAGCCTCACAAACCCAGGGCTGCTCTTTGAGCTGTCCCATCAGCTTCTGCCCAAAGCAGGAACAACTCCCAACAGCCCTTGTGCTGAGTGCCTTGTGCTGAGTGCCTTGTGCTGAGTGCCTTGTGCTGAGCCTTGCTTCTTGTGAAGCGCTGCAGAAACAGGTTTTTGAGTCAAGGAAAACAAAATATAAAGCACATGGGGCTCTTCCAATGGGATCCAAACTGATCGCTTTTCCTAGGCAGGAGCTCCCACAGCTCTGGAGCAGGCTGGTATCACAAGCCCCAACATGTCACGGGTGCTGTTGCTTTATAGAGTGCAGCGGAGGGGATAAACGAGTGAAATGATTCATTTTAACACAGGATTTTAGTTGGGTTATTCCAAGATGAACCCTGCCAGGGTGTGAACCCCACTCCCGTGAAGCGCGGATGCCGGTTGAGATGAAGCTGTGGAAGGAGAACCAGCCCCCTGCGTTATTAACATCAGGTTCATCACAGGCACTTCCACCCCAAAACGAAGCTTTTGGAGCAGGCACAGTCAGATGGAGGGGGGGGGGGGGGGTGTCTCTGCTTTAGCAAGTGTCCATGGTCCGGGTCACACTGGCAGGCCCCAGCAGAAACAGAAGGCACAAGAGCGTTCTCTTTGTTCCCAACACTGCACCTCACCCTGCCTTGGGCTCGGAAACCCTACAGTGAGACCCTGCTCCCGCAGGCAGCTCCTCCCGTTGGGCGATTCCAGCCGTGGGGATCCCTGTGCACAGAGGGGATCCCCACAGCACCCAGAGGTGCCCGGGCACCATCTCCCCGCCGTTACCTGGGGGGCAGTTACCTCAGACCTGCGGGCACTGTGGCCCCTGTAACCGCAGCGGGGGAGCACCGCTTCACCGCCGCTGCCCGCACGATCAGGGCAGGGAGCGGAGCCGGACGGGACGGGACACTCTGCACACGCGCCACCGCGGCCCAAGCCCGCACCGCCCCCGGGATCCCCTCAAGCTGTTACCTCAGCGCTGCCCCCGCAGGGCCCCCAGGCCCGAAGGTCCCTCAGCCTCTCCCCATGGATCCCCCCAGACCCCGCAGCACCCCAGGGCTCCGAGCGGTGCCGCCCGCCCCGCTCCCGGCACGGCTCCCTCGGGCTGCCCCCACGGCCCTTCCATGGCCCCACTCACCGCGGGCCGGGCTCACGGCGCTCACGGCCCAGCTCCAGCGGCCCGGCCGCCACCGCCGCCGCCACCGCGCATGCGCCGGGCTCCCGCCGCGCAGCCGCCCGCATCCCCCCGCCCCGCCCCGCGCAGGCGCACTGCCGGCGGAGAGCCATACCGCCGCGCCGCCAGGGGGCGACGTGTGAGCGAGCGGGGATGGGGACGCTTGGGGGCGATGGGAGCTTGGGAGGGGCTAGGGGGTCACAGGGGGATATTGGGGGTAATGGGGGGCAATGGGAGGGATGTTGGGGTAATGGGTGGCAATGGGAGGGATGTTGGTGGGTCATAGGGGGATATTGGGGGTAATGGGAGGGATGCTGGGGGTCATAGGCGATATTGAGGGTAATGGGGGAATGGGAGGGATGTTGGGGGTCACAGGGGGATACTGGGGGTAATGGGGGGCAATGGGAGGGATATTGGGGGTAATGAGGGGCAATGGGAGGGATGTTGGGGGGTCACAGGGGGATACTGGGGGTAATGGGGGGCAATGGGAGGGATGTTGCGGGTAATGGGGGCAATGGGAGGGATGTTGGGGGGTTATAGGGGGATATAGGGGATAATGGGAGAAATGAGAGGGATATTGGGGGTAATGGGGGCAATGGGAAGGATGTTGGGGGGGTTATAGGGGGATATGGGGGAAATGGGAGGGATATTGGGGGTAATGGGCGGCAATGGGAGGGATATTGGGGGTAATGGGAGGAATGTTGGGAGTCATACAAGGATATGGGGGGTAATGGGCAGCAATGGGAGGGAAGTTGGGGTCATAGGGGGATATTGGGGGTAATGAGGGGTAATGGGAGGGATGTTGGGGGGTCATAAGGGGGTATTGCGGGTAATGAAGGGCAATGGGAGGGATGGGGTGTCACTGGGGGATATTGGGGGGCAATGTGGGGGTCATAGGGGGATATTGGGCAGCAATGGGAGGGATACTGGAGGTCATAGGAGAATATTGGGGGTAATGGGAGGGATGTTAGGGGGTCATAGGGGGATATTGGGGGTAATGGGGGGCAATGGGAGGGATGTTGGGGTGTCATAGGGGGATATTGGGGGTAATGGGGAAATGGAGGAGTAATAGGGGGCAATGTTGGGGACCTCGGGGAGAGAGGCTGGGGGGTCATGGGGGGATAATAGGGGGTAATGGGGACACTGGGGGCATTGGGTGAGAATGGGTGGGCACTGGGTGGGAATGGAACGCAGTGGGGACACTGGGGGTGCGTAGTGAAGACACCAGAATGGGTGACAATGGGGCTGGGGAGCACTGGGTGAGCAATAGGGGGAGCACTGGTGTGTGCCTGCTGTGCAGAGCAGAGCAGAACCAGGTGGCATCGGGGGTGTCCCCATTCCCCCATGTACTCCCCCAGCACATTCCACATTGTCCCGTTTATTGGTGCAGGGCTCAGCGTGGCCCCTACCCGTGCCTCAGTTTCCCCACGTCCATCACCCCACGTCCATCACCCCACGTCCATCTCCCCACGTCCATCTCCCCACGTCCATCACCCCACGTCCATCACCCCACGTCCATCACACCACGCCGCCTTCCACCAGCGGCTCCCCTCGCACCAGCCTCCTCCAGCCCAACCTGCTCAGGTCCAAGGTCTCGTATCGCCCCTTGAGCACCAGCTCGGCCACGGCTCTGCCGGCCGCCGGCGCGTGCTGCAGCCCGTGACCGCTGAACCCGGCGGCCACAAAGAGGTTGTCCAGCCTGGGGTGAGGTCCCAGCACCCCGTTGCGGTCGAAGGAGTTGTGGTCGTAGTAACCAGCCCAGGAGCTGCCGGGACGGAGGGAGGAGAAAGCGGGGACGCGCCGGGCCAACCGCGGCCAGACCTGCTCCTGGAAGTAGTTGTGATCCACAGAGAGATCGCTGGGATCAGGCTCCTCCTCCTGGGAAAAACAGGTTGGGAGGGAGTAAGAAAGGAAACTACGGAGGGAAAGCACGTAACTAACGTATTAAAATAGCATAAATGATCAATGCACATAGAGAGGAACCTCCCTTTGGGCGCACCTCGGGGGGGCTCATGCCGCCCAAGTAGTTGCCGGCAATGCCCTCACGGCGAAAGTAAGCACCGGTGGTGTCAATGAGGAATGGGCAGGATAAGCCAGGACCATCGTGACAGTGCCAGGAGAAGATGTACCTATAGGACAAAGGAGATTCCCCCCCCAAAAAAAATATAGGGATGAGGGGAGTGGGTTGTGCCTCAGAACACACCAGGGGGTGCATGGAAATGAAAGCATTGAGGGTTCACAGCATTCCTGACAATTGGAGAGGCATCCCAAAAGAAGGACCAAGGGGTTTACCAGCCCTTGAAGATGGACAGTGGTGAGTGCTGGGATGTGAGATCCCCCCCAAAACCCCACTAAAGGCCTCACAGCCCCTTTGCAAAGGGATGGATGGTGGGTACCGGTACACAACCACCATCCCCATAGAGCACAAAGGGGCTCCACGGTGATGCCAGGATGTGAACCCCCAAATCCTGCCCTCCCCACCTCTTCCGGGGCTGGATGGGCAGGGGGGGCTGGCACAGCGCCTCGGGCAGCCCGGCTGCCTCCAGCAGCTTCCCGGCCCAGGCACCCGCTGCATTCACCACGATGGCGCAGGTCACGGGCTGGTACTCCAGGCTGTCCTGCATGTACACCTGGGGGGGACGGGACAGACACCCCACATGAGCCAGGGGGTCCTGCACACCCGTGGGGTGTCACTCCCCCTCTCAGGTGTGTTCTGGGGGGGATACACTCACATGGATGCGTTTGATGCGCGCGGACAACAGCTCCGGTCCCTGCGGTGGCATCAAGTCCTCAGCCGAGGTGACAAAACCTGAAGGATTGGGGGGGTGAGGGGGTGACACCCCCAGGGACACCCCGCTCCGTGCGTGTTCCCCCCTCACCTCGCACCTCCCCGGCACAGCTGAGCACCCCCAGGGACATGGCTTTGCGCCGCAGAGCGGTGAGGAGGGTCCAGGGGTCGAACCAGCCCTCGTCCTCCAGACCTGGGGGGCACACAGGGGGTGGGGGATGCTGGTGGGACCCCTCCAAACACAGCCGAGTCTGGGGGGGGAAGAGCCCCCTTGCCCAGATTAAAGTGGGATGAATGATGTGCGCAGTGGGGATGATTATGTGGGATGTGGGTGAGGGTAGGAATGGATAAGGATGAGCGCAGGGATGAAGATGGGGATCAGGATGGGGAATAAGGTGAGGATGGGGGTAAGAATGGGAAGGGATGAGGATGCGGATGGTGACAGAAATGAGAATGAGGATACAGATAAGGATGAGGAATGGGGTGAGGATGGGATGGGGTTGAGAATGGTGACAGGGATGAGGAACAGGATAAGAATTCAGAGAAGGATCAGGACAGGGAATGGGATGAGGATGGGTGGTGATGGGGTCCCCACATACCATAGGATGCCACGGCCACATCCTCTGTATCTATCCATGGGAATTTCTCCTTCAGCTGAGTGGGTGACAGCAGTGTCACCTGCACCCCTTCCTCCCTGGGGACAGCCAGCATGGGGGGGGGGGAGTGTGTGTCAAGATGAAAACCCCAAACCCAAAACCCCTTGATGGGGACACTCTGTGTGCGTGTCCCACCTCTGGACCTTGACAGTGGCCTCCAGCCCATCAGCATCCTGCGGGGAGGCCAGGAAGAGGTATCCTGAAGGCTGGAACTGGATGTCAACGGCTGGCTCGTTTGGCACCCTAAGGTGCTCCTGTGAGGACAGGGGGCACCCATTGAGTAGGGCTGGACCTCCCCACGCTGCCACCCCCCCCCAGTGACCCCACGTACATTGATATTGCGGAGAAAACTGGCTGAGAACCGGGACATGTGGATATTCTCCGGGAGGGAAAACTGCTGCCGGATGCCCCCGGCCGACAGCACCGTGGAAGCTCGGGAATACTGAAAGAGAGAAACACCCCCCACAGCATAGGAGGGGTTCCGGGGGGGTCCCCAAGGCTATGCCCTGCCCAGGAGGGGGTGCTCACCGTGGGGTCCCGCTCCACCACCAGCACCCTCATGCCGTGCCGCCGGGCCTCCAGCGCCTTCAGCCAGTAGGCCACGGACCAGCCCACCACGCCGCCCCCCACCACCACCACGTCGGCCTCTTCGGGGGGCCGCGGGTCCCGGGGCGTTCCCGGGGGAACCCAGCCCCCTGTGCCGGGTCCCAGCGCCGGCAGCTGAGCCTGCAGGGTCCGCCCCAGGCGCCTCAGGCTCAGACCCAGCTCTGATGGGGTACGGGGGGGGGGTGACGGGTTTGGGGGCAGCCCTGGGACACCCCAGTGCCTTCTGCACCCTCCGGGACCCCCCCCCCCCCTTCCCTGGCTGCCCCCTCAGCATCCCGAGGCCTTTGGAGCCACCAGAACCCCCTGTACACCTCCCCCTCCATGGACTCCAGTGCCCCCCACATCCACCCACTGTCCTCTGGGGTCACCCTGCGACCTCCCTGCACCCTCCAGCCCCCCGCCCCGGACTCCCTGTGACCCCCAGGCCCCTGCAGCCCCGCTCCCCCCGGCTCTCACCCCGGAACATGGCCGCAGTGCTCAGGGCCCGGCTCGGAGCCCCCCCCTCAGCCTCAGCGCGCTCCCCCGGGAGCAAGGTCCTAACCACGCCCCCCACTCCCTATTGGCTAACCACACTTCCCACCTCCCTCCATCCCCTCCGCCAATGGGAGGTGTTTCCCGGCGGAAGTAGGGCGCACGGGAAGTCGGAGGGAAAGGGAGGGGGCGGGCAGGCGACGTGTGCGGGAGCCGGTCCCGCCGCCGCCGCCGCCATGTTGGACTTCTTCACCATCTTCAGCAAGGGCGGGCTCGTCCTGTGGTGCTTCCAGGGCGGCTCCGCCGCCACCGCGCCCGTCAACGCCCTCATCCGCTCCGTGCTGCTGCAGGTGCGCGGGGCCGCGCCGTCTGCCTGAGGGGGGCGGGGGGAGGCGGGCGGGACCACTTCATGGTGATGGGGGGGCGTTCAGAAGGGAGCGGTTGGACCGGACCATCCTGCTGCGGAGCGGGCACGGGCATGGGCATGGGCATCGTCATGTAGTGGGGTGGGATCATCCGGAGGGGGGGTTAAGGGGGAAATGGACGGGGCCATCTGCTGGGGGAGAGGGGGGTGACAGGGGCGAGCCCATCTGCCTGGGGACGGGGGGGAAGTGACCCGTTCTGGGATTGGGTTGAGCAGTATGGGGGGAGAACTGAGCCACTGCGGGGGAGAAGGATGGGGCCCCCTGCGCAGGGGTATGGGCTGGACCACTTTTTAGGGAGGAAGGGGGGGGTAAGGATCATGGGGGGGGTTTGCTCGCTGCTGACACCCCTTTTCCAATGTCTCCTTGTCCCCAGGAGCGCGGTGGCAACAACTCCTTCACCCATGAAGCCCTCACGCTCAAGTACAAGCTGGACAACCAGTTTGAGCTGGTGTTTGTGGTAAGGGATAGCCCCAGGTCACCCCAAAACCCCACAGAGGGGGTACCACAGGAAGGGGGCTTTGACTGCCATGGGCTCTACCTTGGCTCCCCAGATTGCAGGATTTTGGGGATGATGGGGGTCTTGGCCACACGCTACCGTGGGGCAGCTAATTCTGATCATCATTTAAACTCATTAAGTCTCCAGGAGAAGCTGCAGGGGTTGCTCTGCCCTAATGAAACCTTTGATTTTGACCAAATCTGTTTAAAACCAGCCAGAAATCATAGAACTGTAGAATGCGTTGGGTTGGAAAGGACATTAAGATCAACCAGTTCCAACCCCTGCCACCGGGTTGGGGACCCCTTCCACTGGAGCAGCTTGCTCCAAGCCCCTGTGTCCAACCTGGCCTTGAGCACTGCCAGGGATGGGGCAGCCACAGCTTCTCTGGGCACCCTGTGCCAGCGCCTCAACACCCTCACAGGGAAGAGCTGCTGCCTTATCTCCAACCTGAGCTTCCCCTGTTTTAGTTTGAACCCATCAGCCCTTGTCCTTTCACTACAGTGCCTAGTGAAGGTTGCTGTCCAGCACTGGAAGCTGCTCTGAGGTCTCCACGCAGCTTCTGTTCTCCAGGCTGAACAAGCCCAATGTTCTCAGCCTGGATCCATATAGGAGGTGATCCAGTCCTGTGATCATTCTCATGGCCTCCTCTGGACTTGTTCCAACAGTTCCATGTCCTTTTTATGTTGGGGACACCAGAACTGTACGCAATACTCCAAGTGAGGTCTCCTGAGAGCAGAGCAGAGGGGGAGGATCACCTCCATAGACCTGCTGGTCACACTCCTTTTGATGCAGCCCAGGATACGGTTGCTTTCTGGGCTGGAAGCACACACTGAAGCCGGCTCATGTTCACTTTCTCATCAACCAGCACTGCCTGGTCCTTCTGCGCAGGGCTGCTCTGAATCAATTCTCTGCCCAACCTGTAGCTGTGCCTGGGATTGCCCCGACCCAGGTGTAGGACCTTGCACTTGGCATGGTTGAACTTCATGAGGCTGGCATCAGCCCACCTCACAAGTGTGTCAAGGTCCCTCTGGATGGCATTCCTTCCCTCCAGCGGATCAACCGAACCACACGGCTTGGTGTCATCGGCAAACTTGCTGAGGGCGCACTCAATGCCACTGTCCATGTCAGTGACAAAGGTGTTGGAACAGGATCACTCCCAGCACGGACCCCTGTGCCATCCCTTTACTTTAGAGAGTTGTAGAATGAATCACAGGATGGTTTGGGTTGAAGGGACCTTAAAGCTCCTCCGGTTCCAACCCCCTGCCATGGGCAGGGACACCTTCTTCTAGAGCAGGTTGCGCCAAGCCCAGTTCAGCCTGGCCCTGAGGGTTTTAGTGCACTTCCTTGTCATCTGGCTGACCTTATCTCTCTAAATCCACACAACCTCCATTTGCACCTGAAGATAAGCAAAACCTTCCCTGGTCTGCCACATGGCTTTGTTGCTGTGAAACAGCCAACCTGGTTTTATCAGTGTTGTCTTTTAAAGTGAAGTTCTGTGCCACTGTTTTCCCTGTCTTTTTCCCCTTTAATTTCTTGGCAAGTCCAACTAGAACACATAGCCTGAAGCTTGATGACATTCAAGAGTGCTGTATTAAACGGAGAGGTTTTCCCCTCCACGCCAAGCAGACTGTTGTTAAATGAGGTCATGGACCAACATCTTTCCACTGTGCTGCTTCCCAGGTGGGGTTTCAGAAGATCCTGACTCTAACCTACGTGGACAAGTTGATAGACGACGTGCACAAGGAGTTCAGGGACAAGTACCGCAATGAGTTCCAGCAGAAGGGCACCTTGGGCCTCCTAAATGGCACCTTTGATTTTAAAGACGACTTCATGCGCCTCCTCCGGTAGCAGAGCCTGTTTTTAACTCCCACATCCCTGTTTAGAGTGCAGCTAGGGCTGAAATCCAGGCTCTTAACGGGTGTCCTCTCCGCAGGGATGCAGAGGAGAGCAGTAAAGTCCGAGCTCCCACGGTAATGAAGACGTTTGAGCAGTCTCTGAAGTCTCAGAAGACTGTCAAGTGTATGATTGAAACCCGGGGGGAGAAACCAAAGGAGAAAGTCAAGAACAAGAAGAACAAAGGTTCCAAAAAGGAGGGTGAGTTTGTGGGAAAGAAAATTGAGACGGGGGAATAAAGATTCCAGAGTTTTGTGTCTTTCCCAGTCCTCTTGCGCTGCGCAGCGCTGGCCTGAGCTCACGTTGGGTTCTTCCCATCAGGAACTGAAGCTGTCGCAGCGCCTGGCAAAGCCTCTGCAGGTGAGAAGCAGTCCTCTGGGGACAGGGAGGAGCTGACCAAGGATGAAATCCTGCAGAAGAACCGGGAGGAATTCTTCAGGAGGCACATGAAAGCAGGGGAGAAGTCCAGGTGGGTGGCAAGGACGTGCTCAGGCTGCCTGTGGTCCAACCCCGCTGTCCCTCAGCCACGGCCGAGGCCCTCCAGCCTTTGGGGCATCCCAGAATGCAAACTTTGCTTTCCGTTTTCCTTATTTCCCTGCTCACTGGGAGGACTGGGAGAGGGCAAACTGTGGGTCCTGGAGGTGTAATGGGAATTGATCCATTCTTTTCCTGCAAGAGCCAGGAACCAGGAGTGCTGTGAGCAAAAGGCAGTGGCACATCAGTGCCTGGCTTGAGTGAAGGGATCTGCTACAGGGTCAAACATCAGTTAATGAAACTGTGGAGACTAAATCAACCAGGTTTAGCCTTAATTTCTGCCTTTCTGGGGTTAACGCAGGCTTGTAATTGTCACATCTTCCAAGCAGGCCATTGCTGCCCTGCACCGAACAAACCACGTTTCCCATCTTTATTCCAGCAAATCTCCAAAGCCCGAGGCACAGAAGGAGAAAGGGAAGAAGCCCAGAGTGTGGGATCTGGAGAACTCTAATGCCAAAGTACTGGATTACAGTAACTCTGCTACCAACGGGAGCGCCGAGGCTTGTCCTGTGGAAGAATTTGACCCCGATGCAGTAAGGAAAAGCTGGGTCACTGTGTCCTGGGGTGTGCTGGGATCAGCTGGGTGTTGCTGTCCCAGCCCATGGAGACTGGATGTGGCTGGAGCAGGATGAGGGGCAGCAGTTGATGGTTTTCAGGGTGTCTTCTCCCCTCCTCGCAGGCCCTGGGGGATAGGAATCGGGAGCCCGGCCGTCTCTACGACCTTGAGTATGAGAGTGATGAGGAGGCTGAAGAGGAGAAGGTTGTTCAGAACCCTTCAAAGCCCAGGTAGAGGCTCCTGCAGCCCCCACGTGTCACACACCTTGGTTTCTGCCCCGTAACTCCTCTACTCTTAACTGGTTGTGAAGTAGGGACAAAGCAGTGGTTGTCAGCTGTGGTGGGCTCTGCACAGCTCGCCCCTTGAGCCTAAAGGTGACCCCTCTTCTCCACAGTGTGAAGAAAGGTGGCCTGGGGGGCATGTTTGGCATGCTGAAGGGCCTGGTGGGCTCCAAGAGCTTGACAAGAGGGGACATGGACCCCGTACTGGAGAAGATGAAGGATCACTTGATTGGTAGGTCTGGCTCTGCTGAAAGCAGGTTGATTTGTGGTGGCTCCATGGGGTAGCATGTGGGGGACTGTGGTGGGTTCTTGTCTCACCCTCAACAACGCATCAAAATGGGGATCCTGCATGGTGACTCCATGCTCCCTCAGCGTTGATGTCTGGTGTGTGTAACCTCGGCAGCACTCACTCTCCTCTCTCTGTCTCCCTCTTGAAGCTAAAAACGTGGCAGCTGAGATCGCGGTGCAGCTCTGCGAGTCAGTGGCCAAGAAACTGGAAGGGAAGGTGATGGGGACGTTCACCAGTAAGTGGCCATGAGGCCTCCTGCTCGTGGTATGGGGCTCAGGAGCGTTCCCGGGTGTGACAGGTTCTCATTCCACCTCCTCCTTCCCAGCGGTGACCTCGACAGTGAAGCAGGCCCTGCAGGAGGCTCTGGTCCAGATCCTGCAGCCCCAGCGCCGGGTGGATGTCCTCCGGGATGTCATGGATGCCCAGCGCCACCGCCGACCCTACGTGGTCACCTTCTGTGGCGTCAACGGTGTTGGGAAGTCCACCAACTTGGCCAAGGTTGGACACGGTGCTCGTGGGGAGGAGGCCGGGGTGAGGAGGTGAGGCTGTAGTTGCTGACGGGCGTTTCTGCTCCCTCTCCTTGCCGCTGCAGATCTCGTTCTGGCTCATCGAGAACGGTTTCAGTGTCCTCATTGCCGCCTGTGACACGTTCCGGGCTGGAGCCGTGGAGCAGCTCCGCACCCACACCCGGCGCCTCAACGCCCTGCACCCTCCAGAGAGCCACGGTGGGCGCACCATGGTGCAGCTCTATGAGAAGGGCTACGGCAAGGACGCGGCCGGGATTGCCATGGAGGCCATTGCTTACGGTACACGCCAAGAACTAGGGGTGGGAGACGTTCTGGGGGGGCATCCTGCTCACTGGTGCCTCTTCTTCATCTTCCCCAGCTCGGAACCAGGGCTTCGACGTGGTCCTGGTGGACACAGCTGGCCGCATGCAGGACAACGCGCCCTTGATGACGGCGTTGGCCAAACTGATCGCGGTCAACACTCCTGACCTGGTCCTGTTCGTTGGGGAAGCGCTGGTGGGAAATGAGGCAGTGGATCAGCTGGTGAGGGACCAGGCTCTGGGTCCTGGGAGATAGAGTATCATCATCATTATTATCCTTCCAGTATCTGCAGGGATGCTGGAGACAGGTTCTTCACCAGGGACTGGAGTGATAGGACAAGGGGTGATGGGTTCACACTGAAACGGGGGAAGCTCAGATTAGATATAAGGAAAAGTTCATCCCTGAGGGTGCTGAGGCGCTGGCACAGGGTGCCCAGAGAAGCTGTGGCTGCCCCATCCCTGGCAGTGCTCAAGGCCAGGTTGGACACAGGGGCTTGGAGCAAGCCGCTCCAGTGGAAGGTGTTTGTGCCCATGGTAGGGGTTGGAACTGGATAATCTCAAGGTCCTTTCCAGCCCAAACCAGTCTGTGATTACGGGGGGGAAAACTCTGCTTCCGTGGGTTTTATCAGGCATTTGGACAGCGACAGCACCATAAGTGAGTTTCTTGGATCCGTTTTCTCCCTCAGGTTAAGTTCAACAAGGCCCTGGCTGATCACTCCATGGCCCAGACACCACGGCTCATTGACGGGATTGTCCTCACCAAGTTTGATACCATCGACGACAAGGTAAGGAGGCTGTTGAGACATCTCCACATGGAGCTTCCCGCTGGAGAGGTAGGAAGTGTCCAACACAGGGTGCTTTGGTGCTGCCTCGGATGCCATCTCTTGCTTTCCTCTTGCATTGCAACCCAATTCAGCGATGGGCTGAGCGAACAGCAAGGAGGCAGAGTGGCTGATAGTGCTGCTTGTGCTTGGCAGGTCGGCGCTGCCATCTCCATGACCTACATCACGAGCAAGCCCATCGTTTTCGTTGGTACCGGACAGACCTACTGTGATCTGCGAAGCCTTAACGCCAAGGCCGTGGTCGCAGCGCTCATGAAGGCCTGAACCCCACCAACGGCTGTTGCAGATGTCCAAGAAGAACATGCTTTACCCCGTTCCCAGCTCGTCCTTCCCACAATGAAGGGATGCCAGCGTGAGGGGAATGGTTCTGGGAGGGTAAAATTCCCTTTATCCAGCAAAAGCCCTTCACCTGGATTCCTTCATTCTGGCTGAGGGGGCACAGGCTCCCTCGCAGGGAAGCTGAAGCCAGAGCTTTGTATTGTTCATGCTGCAAGGACCTGCTGTGCTTTTTTGGGGGGGTTGAAGGCTTTAATTCCTTAGAGCTGCTTTTGGATTTCTTTTAGACCAGTTGAGGGAGGATGAGGAGTGATGGTGTTCGCTGGTGCATAGGAAGAAAATCCCAATTCATGCTGGCAGATAACTGGTGGTGGCTTTGGTGTTCTCCCCCTTCGAGTGCCTCTTGAGCCCGGTCTGAAGTGCTACACTTGAGTAATACAAACCTCTGTTACAATGTCTTGTAGCTCCATATCGCAGATGTGCTCCAGTGCAATAAGTTGAATGCTGTCTGCTCAGAGACATAATTTATATGAAATAAACCTCATAATTTGTCCTCTGTGTGTACATAACTCGCCTCCAGGCAGGACCTGCTCACTCCTTGGGGGTAGGGAGGAGACAAACCCGGGGTGAGGGGTTGGGGAGAGCAAGTAAATCACCCACCAGGCATAAGGTCAGTGAACAGGCTTTTAATAGAAGTTTCCTTATATAAAACACTACACAATAAAGACAGAAACTAGAGAAGTGGAGCTTTAAGTAGGCAAAAAACCCATCAGCTGTGCCTGGGAGCTGTGGACTCAGGTCCTGGGATGAGGCTGCTCCTCAGATGCTGCATCCTGGAAGGATGAAAGGGAATCAACAACAGGGAAAATACTGCTGGCATGTGTGGGGAGCAGCAGGGCTGTTCATGCAGTGATTTCCTAAAGGTAAATCCCAAGTCCAGCTACATTCACAGCAGGTTTTGGGGGAAGAGACCCCAAGCTCCAAGTGCTCAGTTGGGCTAGAGTAGCAATCCCTCCCATTCCAGAAGATCCAGGCCTTCCCCAGCACCCTGTGTGAAGCTGACAATGACAGCTCCCCCGATCCCTGCAGTCACCAGGTTCCTCACGGAAGGGAGCTGGTGGCTGTTTCACTGCAGATGCAGTCCTGTTTCTGCCTCTTCAATGCTCTGGGCAATGCAGCTCCTCTGTATCTCCCCCAGCAAAGCTTCATCCCTCTTTTGTGACCCAAAAGAAGGGCTCAGAAGAGGGTGAGCTCCCCATGCTGGTCTGGTGGGTGCCATCTGTATGGCAATCCAAAAGCAGAGTGCAAATTCAGGGGACAGCACCAGGGGACAGCTCTGCCACCACAACGCAGCCTGGCCCCATGGCCAAGGAACTGGCTCCAAGCGCTCTACACTGACTTGGGCTCTACCTGCACAGTGTGTGCTGCTATAAACCATGAAGGGAACCTGCTGCCTTGCTGATGAATTGCTCCCTAAGCAATTCACCCTAATCTCGAGTGAATTCCAGTGTTCCCAGACTGTGATGAACAGAAAAGGCTCTAAGAAATGACATTCCCTGGTGACAGAACAGATGAAACCAGTGTGCACATGTGAATTAATCAAGCACTTTGGGCTAATCAAAGGTGGCTTCTCTTTAATGACCTGCAGCTCAACAGCAGGTATTTGTGTGTGGCTTTTCCCAAGGTGAGAGACAACTTCTCTCCCATTCTGTAATCTTCTATCCTATCCACTACAGGGAAACAGTGCAGTGCAGAGCAAGGTGAGTTACCTGCATTACCAACGTCTGAAGGTTGCTGCAGGTTCACCAAAGCTTGCTTGATCTCACACAGAGTCTTGGCAAGGGGAGAAGCTGCTATCAGGCTCTCCACCTCCAGCTCGCTCAGGTAAGCCAACTGGACATCTAAACCTGAAGGAAAAGGGGGCACTTTTAAGCCTGAAGGAAGAAGAGGCTTTTCATGGCTGGGAGGAATTAAACTCAAGGGGGGAAGCGATGCACAGTACCACTGCTCAGCACCTGCTGACCAGCCCAGCCCAGCCCCAAGCAGTGATCAGCCCCTCCTGGCCAACTCCCCCCAGTTTCTATCCTGAGCATGATGTTCCATGGTATGGAATATCCCTTGGGCTAGGTCAGGTTCTGGCTCTGCTACCTCCTGGCTTCTCGTGCCCCTCCTCACTGGCAGGGCATGGAACACAGGGACATTCCTGACACTGAGTAAGTGCTACTGAGCAACAATAAACCATCGGTGTGTTACCAGTGTTATTCTCACACCAAATTCACAGCACGGCACTAGGAAGAGCACTAACTCTATCCCAGCCAAGCCCAGGACACCAAGTCATTGCCCTTACTGTGTTCTTCATGTCCAGGGAAGCAGAAAAAACCATCTTTCCCACTGAAGAGCTCCCACTGCTGAGGCAGTTCATGACCCTGTGGGGTATAAAGGGCCCAGGAGTTAAAGAAATGGGCAAGTGGGAAAACTAGCAGGAAGGTGAGAGATGGCCCAACAAGACACCTGCAACTCACCTGCCCTTCCATTGCTTCTGGTTTACCTTCACTGGCCAGGCTGTCCAGGGAGGGCACAACTGCCACCACATCCTGCCCTTGGACCTTCTGCTCCACGGCCCGCTTCAGGGACGCATTCTTGTACAGAGCGTTCCCCAGCAGCATCTCCAGAGCTTTCATTAGCTCTGCTGCCTCTTGCCATGGAGCACCTAATGAACCCAACAGGCACTTTCAATGGACTCCTACAGAACCACATGAAGAACTGCAATGATCTCCAGAGCAAAACCAAGAGCACAAACCTTTGGAAATGCCACACGGTGCCTCCAAGCTGCCTCATGGTGTAGCATTTCCAAAGAACTCCGTGCTTACCTGTTCCTGGCTTCTCAATGAACTCACAAAGACAGGCTGTCAGCTCTTACAGAGCTCCTACAGAGCTACAGCACCACTGGAGGACATGGTCCTGTGGGATGTCCTCTCATGTGTATGAGCCATCCACTGCACACATCATGCACTGTGCCACCCAGCGATGCTCCCTGACACTGCTGCTCTCTTGCTCTGCACTTTGGCTCTCTCACCTGCTTGGCAGTCGTGTCCACAGGGCCCATCACATTGCTCAGCACACGCTGCTGCCCCGCTGCTCTCTGCACGTTTGTGCTCATGAGCCCTTCTCAAGTCTTCAGTGTCCAGTGCTTGCAGCATGTCCTGCTTACAGAGAGCAGCAGTGTTGGGCTCTGCAAGTCCCACAGTCCCCCCATTCTGCTGCTTGTATAAAAGCAGGAATTAGCACGACTATGTCATGCCAAAAGAAGGGACCCAAAGGAGCAAACTGCCACTGCAGGGGAACCATTTATCTTACAAACGTCGCAGTTGCAAGACTCCCTTCCCTCAGTTGTTTCCACACTGACCGTGAGACTCTGGATCTGCTGGCTGACTCCACTGTAGAACACCTGCACGTCCATCCTGTGCTTGGCCAGCTGAGACGCCAGATGCAAGTTCTGATCTTCCAGCTTATCGTAGAGGGTGCGAACACTGAAATCCTCCAGAAGCCTCCGTGTCAAATGCTCTTCTGAAACACAAAGTGTCTGGGGAGTGGACACAAGCCTTTATTTCCCACTGCCTGTCCATAGGAGGCAACAGCATGGTGTAATGTGAAGGAGGGAAGCGGAAGAGGCAAGAGATGTAAAAGGAGGTCCCATTCCTTAGTGATGGGGAGGAGGAGAGAGTGTTACTATCACCTCCTAACTCAGGGTTTCTGCTCCTCTGTTCTCAGCATCACCATCAGCTGTGCTCTGGGTTTTACTGTACCCTGTGAGCATCCTGAAATTCCTTGAGGTTTATCTCCTGAAGGCAAGCAAGGCCCAAGAGGGCTGGCCACTTGCCCTCCTATGGAATAAAGCACTGACCCATTCCATGACAGGAGGTTACAGTCCCCATCTGAGGAGATCAAATGAACCTAGAATGGGAGCGTGTGTGGTGTGTGTAAATTGCACACATGAGTACAGGGCAGCCAAAGTGCCTGTGTGCCCTTGGTGAGTAGGCATGAAAGTATCACACGAGAGAGCTAACAGGAGACAACATGATGGGCAGTAAACTGGCCCAGCACTACCTGCATTATGCACAGCTCCCTTCTCTTCAAAGCCAGCATCTTCTCCAGAAGCACGAGGACCGACTGTCTGATAGAACTGAAGGCTAAAAGGAATGACAGAAGAGGGTGAAGAGTATCTCATCCCCAGTAAAATCAGATCCTGCACTATCACCATCCCAGTTCAAGGAGGAGGATAGGTTTCTTGGGCAGATTTTGAAGTCAAAACAAAGATGGACACAACAGAGCTGTTACACACCATGCTGCTGGTAACATCGATGAGCTCCCTGTGCAGTTAGAGACTCAGCATACTGTAGAGCTGGCAAGAGGTCCAGCATCAGGGACTGAGAGTAATGCAACAGGACATGCTTTTGTACTATCAGGGTGTCCATGCAAAGGGGCTTTACCTGTCTTTAAGGAGGATGTACTCTGGTGGGACGTGTGGCTCACCCAGGCTCCTCCATCGTGGCTTCCAACCCTTCATGGGGCTGATGATGGGCACAGCAGGCTGGAGCACTACAGCCAGGGTTGCCAGCACCACAATTAGGGAGCCCAGAACAAAAAGGACTGCTGGGAAAGCCAAGAGGGATGGCAAGGAGGATGCAAGCCACACTTTTTCTATTGCTTTACTGTCCTCTCACTGATGGACATGGGACTGGTGTGTGCACAGCACTTAAAGAGGCACAGCTTTGAGGAAAGACCTCAACTGTCCTTGTATTTAGCCTCAAGCAACCTTATAAATGATGCCTTTCATTTCAGCTGAGTTTAGCACTAAAACACGCTGGCACTTTCTGCCTTCAAGCCAAGAGAAACAAAGCCCTCACTTGAATTCTTCAAGCAGAGAGTGGGGAGAAGCACAACTGGTCCTTCCCTCCCTCACAGTGTTCTGGCTGTACCTGTGATAGTGGCCCAGTTAGGAGCCAAGTTCAGGTCCTGTTGCTTCAGAACTCCATGTCTGGCCAGCTGGAACAGGGAGGAGGGCTGGAAGGACACATCTCGGGGGTCACAACCCACGGTTGCTTCATTCACAGTCACGATCAGGAAGTGCTCCTGAATGGTCCTGTCCCTGAAAACGTATGTCCCAGACTCCAGGAAAACATGGGCAAACCTGGAAGGGAGGAAGTAAGGAAGGAAAGGAAGGAAGGTTGATCCAAGCTTCCTTTAGCCTCCAGCTGTGCTGACAGTCAAATACATGAACACACCAAGCTGGCATTTTCACTGCTCACTGATCCCGTGGCACACTCACCCTCAAGCCCAGACCATGACATGTGTATGTTATCCACAGCAGGCATTCTTACCAGGAGATGTTGAGGTGAGTCTCCTGGATGAGGTGGTCCAGCCTTCGGAAGGCTCCAAAATCCCAGCTTGGGTTGCTGTTATAGAGATGCTGCTTCTGGTAGACAGGGTAATGGCTGGATGCACGATCTGGGAATGGTTCAGCACAGTGTCAGCAACAGTGACAGTTGATACTGGTCTGGCAAAGAACTATGGAGCTGCATTTCCCTTATGGGGCCATGCAGGGCCAGCTGCTTTGAGGTGTGCATTACTGCCCAACAACATCTGCTTTCTAACAGAGGGCAAATGATATCTTTATTCTGTAGAGATCCAGTCAAGAAGTGAAAAGCACCATGTAAGTCACTAGGCTAAAGCTCTGGAGTCCCCCAAAGGCAGGAGAGACAGGGAGGTGAAGGAATACATGCAGTGCTCCCAGATGTGGAGTCACTGCTCTGAACACAAAGAGCACAGAGACCCACCAACACTCACTGTGGGAATCGATGCTGAGCTGGAAAAGGATTGTGTCTCCTGCTTCCAGGCATACTACTGGGTTAGGAACAAGGGGCAAGGTGTGGGTGTCTGTGGAGGAAGCCCTCTGGATTCGACGACCTTTCTGTAGCAAGTGATGTGATGGAAAGTCTCCTGGCACGGGCAAGAGGACAAACAGAATGAGGAGCTCTTGAAAACAGAGAACTCTCTCTTTGTATCCGTGGGCAATTACAGCTCACCAGGTCAGATTCTGCTCTCAGCCACACTACCAGAAATGAGAAGCAACTGGAGTTAGGAGCCAGCAACAGACCTGCCTTTGAATGGAGCTTCCTTCTAGCTTCTTGGAAGGCCAAAATCCTTCCACAACCTGTATAGGACCGGCTCCCAGAGAGCCAGTGCAGGTCACTCCCACAGAGAACAAGATCTCTCCCAACTTTGTAAATAACTTGGACAATAAATTCCCTCTGTGCCAACTTAGAAGGAAACGAATGGCTTTGTCTGACTGGAACTTTGGGTCACCCTCAAGCCTTACGTGTGAGAAACGCATCCAGAACATCCGTGCTGGAGGCAATGAAACCCAGCACTCCAGTGGGACTGAACAGAACCAAATGCACCCGCTGGCTTTTCTGCACGTGTTCGTCTGGGCCCAGAACGTTTCCCACTTCCTGTTAAAAGCAGAGGCAACGCTTGTCAGTGGTTGGAGCCTGGGCTGTGATCAGTGTCAGCTGTACCACACTGCTCCACAGAGGGCTTTCCCCAACCATGCAGAAGCTGCCATCTCTGAGCAGTGCAACAACCTGAGCAGTGAGAGCCTCTCCTCTCTACTCGCAGCTTTCCACCCTTGTGTAACCTCACACTTACCCACACTTCTCCTCCATTCATCCGCAGCAGCAGCTCTCTGTTGATGCCAAATCCCAAGGAGATCTGTGGGGCTCTCAGCAGACACAGCTGGTCACACAGCTCCTCAGCAGAGACATACTGCTTGCAGTGACATCTGTGCAGAGGACAAAAGCTCCTGATCACTTCTGATCCCTGAGCACACGCTGATGGTCAGGATGACCCCAGTATCTTACTATTTACACTATGTCCATGGAAACCAGGATGGAGCAAGCTCACAGACCGTCTCACTCAGCACTGCCCGCTATTCAGTGCCTGTGAAAGGCCAAAATGTAATACCCCACTCTCCAACAGCTATCTATCTAACAGCTATCTATCTAACAGATACCTAACAGCTATCTAACAGCTATCTATCTAACAGCTATCTATCTAACAGATACCTAACAGCTATCTAACAGCTATCTATCTAACAGCTATCTATCTAACAGCTATCTATCTAACAGCTATCTATCTAACAGCTATCTATCTAACAGCTATCTATCTAACAGCTATCTATCTAACAGCTATCTAACAGCTATCTATCTAACAGCTATCTATCTAACAGCTATCTATCTAACAGCTATCTAACAGCTATCTATCAAGTTTTTGTTTTTGTTTTTTGTTTTTGTTTTTGTTTTTGTTTTTGTTTTGTTTGTTTTGTTTTTGTTTTGTTTGTTTTGTTCTAACAGCTATCTATCTAACAGCTATCTATCTAACAGCTATCTATCTAACAGCTATCTATCTAACAGCTATCTATCAAACAGCTATCTATCTAACAGCTATCTATCTAACAGCTATCTATCTAACAGCTATCTATCTAACAGCTATCTATCTAACACATACCTAACAGCTATCTATCTAACAGCTATCTATCTAACAGCTATCTATCTAACAGCTACCTATCTAACAGCTATCTATCTAACAGCTATCTATCTAACAGATACCTAACAGCTATCTAACAGCTATCTATCTAACAGCTATCTATCTAACAGCTATCTATCAAGTCAGTCCTGTGGCAGTGTTAGGCATCCCCCCCTAAAGTTCTGCTTTCAGTCAATGGCTGAAAGAAACAGAGTTTAACTTTAACACACCTGATTTCTGCGCAGTCCATGCTGGGAGATTTTGCAATACAGAAGTTCCTCCACAAAAAGCTCAGAAGTACAATTTGACAAGAACTAGCTCTTAGTTGGCATTAAGCTAGTGTTTTAGTTGGCATTAAAGATAGGGGGGGAATGAGGGTTGATTTCCTCAACCTGAGGCACATGGAGAAGGTCTGCCTCGGCAAAATGCGAGCTCTGCCCACCCTCCCCTTGTCCCTCAGTGTCATTCTGGTGTCTCTGCCCGTAACACCTCCCTCGGGATGCCCTGATGGGATCAGCAACCCCTGTGAGGTGCTTCTGGACTCACTTACATGCCCAGCTCTGCGTTCAGCTCTCCCCCGGCGGGCCCGCAGGCAGGGGAGCAGTCGTACCGCTGGGGAAGCACGCACTGGCGTGTGGCTGCGAGCCGGACCGCTCCTGGGGCGCACAGCTCATCCACCTGCAAGAGCAATGCTCACCAGGGAGGGACACCCGGGCAGCAGCCCTCAGATCCTCTTCCTCCCCCTGCAAGCTGCTGACGTTCAGGTAAAGGTAACCCCACAAGGGCTGATAGAGACAGCTGGGAAAGCATGGAAGAAAGACCATGGGGTCCCATCCGAGCTCCTCAAGCAAGGCTGATGAAGGACTCCATAGGAACAATGTGGAAACTTTAATTCCTGCATCTGTCATTTGTCTGTGACCCTGCTGCTCCCCATTGCCACAGCATGGAGGAAGCATCCTTTGCCTTCATCTCTTACGAATTTGGCAAAGACAAGTGCTGTTATCCTACAAGGACTGGTCAAACAAAGCAGCTAAAGGACTTGTGTCTGCAGCAGCCCAGAGAACCGAACTCGGGTTGAATGCACGCACCCGGAGACAGGGCCTGAAGCACCAAATCACCCTCCCTCCCCTTCATATCACACAGCAGCTCTGTTCTGAAGCCAAGCTTTACCTGGGGGCGGCAATCCTGATCGCTGTTGCTGTCAGGGTCCATCTTGCCTCTCTCATCATAGTAAATGTAACCTGCCTGGCAGATGCAGGAGGCATCCGACGGCTGGAAAGCCCGGTTCAGCCCATGGCAGGTACAGCTGGTTGCACCTTAGAGAAGAGCCGCAGTGGCACGTTGACAAACACTCCAGACACTTGTGCATTAAGCCATTAGGTAGGGTAAGGACTTGGTCAGTCAATGCTGCCAGGCCCCTCTCTTGTGCCTTAAATCCACCACAGTACACAGGGTAAGGCATTTACCACCTACCTTCCAGGTTTCCAGCCTTTTCCCAAGCTGGATATGGTTCAGTGCCCAATTTTGGCAGACCTACACTTAATGCAAGCTCCCCAGTGCAGGGCAAAAGTACTCTTGGTGAATGTTTCCAAAGCAATGATAGAACAAGAATTAGTAGGGCTGCTCACCTCTTCCTTCAAAGCAGACAAATCCCCTTGGCTAACAGAGTGTAAGAGGAAAAAAAAGCTTTGGAAACGGAATCCTCCTTCTGGGCGGGACAGAGGCAGAGCAGTTGGTAGCACCAACAGCACCATGAGGATCCCAGGACTCGTGGCCCATCACGGAACCACAGTGTGGGGGATCACGTTTCTGGGCTATTTCCTTCCTGGCCTCTCAATAGAGGTGAACGTTTCACACACACACACACACACAGGGACTCACCAGGCTGAGAGGATGAAGAGCTGCCGCAGGGGAAGCAGGCAGCCTGGGCAGGGAGGTGATTGAAGGTGCCAGCAGGACAGGCCTGGCAGTCCTCCATGTGCTTCGCGAAGCTGCTGCTCCTGTGGGTGCCCGGGGGACAGGGCAGAGGGGCAGATGCCAGGGCAGGGCAGTAGTGGCCACTGGGACAAGGCTTCTTGTGGTAGCTCTCACTGCCTGGAGACACAGACACTGCGTAGGGACTGAAGCACGTGCAGAGGCTGCTTATTCCCATTGTACATATCCACACCTCTCTATCATAGAATCCCAGACTGGTCTGGGCTGGAAAGGACCTTAAGATCATCCAGTTCCAACCCCTGCCATGGGCAGGGACACCTTCCACTAAACCGTGTCACCCAAGGCTCTGTCCAACCTGGCCCTGGACACTGTCCAGGATGGGGCATTTACCACAGGTAGGTATATATAAAGTTCATAAACATTCAATTTAATTCATTGATATTTAAATATAAATCTTCATTTCTTTGTCTTGCCTCTTTCACTGGACAAATCCAATGGCAAGAGTGAGAGGACGAGATCTCCTCCATGGGAGCTCAACACACACGAGTGAACTTCACACAGGATACCAGCCAACAGGCTTCCCATACTCGTAAAGCTGTTCCTAACCCCTCAGGCTGCAAGCAGCAGGGGCTGCCACAGACTTTGAGCCCTTAGGCTCACTCCTCTGGTAATACATTAACTCTGAACCTCTCGGCTAAGCCACGGAAGCAGGGAGAACACAGGGGACAGGACGTGGATATCCAAACCACTCTTCATACATAACCACCTACCACGATAAATGCTCCACAGGCTGATGTGACAGGGTTTATAACTGTGGAGGACCAAAGCTTTGCCCCCACAGAACTTAAAACTATCAGTTTAAGCTGCTATTTCTTGCCTCCTTCCTCCGTGGCAGCTCCTTTTACCTTGTGGGCATATGAAGCCTGCAGGGCAGGGCTGGCAGGGTGACATGATGAGGGGGTCACTGCGGTAGGTGCCGGCATCACAGATCCTGCAGAACTTCTCAGGTGAATCCCTTGGACCAGGCAAGCTGAGGGCCATGGACCCTCCTTCACACGGCAGCGGATGGGCACTGCCTGGGGGGCAGTAGTAGGGAAACACACACCTGGAATGCAAAACAAGGAGGGGAGAAGGAAAAGTGCCTGGAAGTGTTTGGATTTCCGGGTTCCATGGCCAGTGCTAACCGAGGGCAAAACTGAAAGTGGTTTTCACCTGGTTCCAGGCTCAAGCTAACGAGTAGAGATCATAAATCACCCTACTCAGCCTTAGCAGCCACCAAATCCATGACTGTTACCTATTCCAGAGGTCCCTTTGCTTCTGCACAGTGCACAAAGTCCACGGTTGAAGCATTAAGATGGGTTTTAGCACAGGCACATTTCACAATATTCAGTCCTTAGAAGGTTAAGGCCGGCTGCACCAAACACACCCGGTATACTCACAGCTGCTCAGGGCTGTTGTACGTTGATGATCCTTCAGGACAGTAATACCCAGCAGGGCACATGGAGGGCAGGGCTGTGTGAGCAGCACAGTACAGGCCAGGCCTGCAAGGCTTGGGATTTACTGAACCTGGTGGAAAAAAGGGGAAAGAGTGATTGATTCCGGCCAGAACTAGCTGGAAATAAGGAAAACAGGAGCATGGTCATGTCACCTGCTGGGCACTCATAGCCAGCTTTACAAGGTACTCCCTGGGTGTTAGGCAGCCCTGTCTCTGCTGGATCCGGGCAGAAGTATCCAGGGGAGCAGGGAGCACACTCTTCCAATGATTTTGCACCAGGCTGGATCCTGGAAGTGCCAGCTGGACAAAGGAAAGCATCCCCTTTACCTGGGCACCAGTATCCAGGGGGGCAGGGGTAATCCTCAAACCTGCTCAGACCTGTTAGGAAGAGAAAGGAATGAAGACAGGGCCATGAGGGGGTTTAGAGAAGGGCTCTGAGCACTGCTCCATCTCAGGGAATTCCATAGCCAGCTCCAGAGATGGGAAAAGGCTGGTTTCCACCTGGCACTCACCTGAGAAAGGGCAGTGGTAGCCAGGAGGACAGGGTTGGCAATCTGTCAGGCTCTGAGCTCCTGGGAGCCTGCGGTAGGTCTGTGGAGGGCATTTCTGAGGTGCCAGGAGACTGCTGTGCTCACTGCCATTGCCTCCAAAGCAATAGTGTCCTGATGGGCAGGGATAGGCCTCTGAATCCCCTAGCAAGCAGGAAGCAGGGCTTTAAGGAGTCAGCTTTGCATTGTAATTGGAGCACTTGTCTTCTCTGTCCTCGCTGGGTCCTTCCTGAACTCCTGCACAGATGTGTATAACCCCCCTTCACAATCCAATCCCCTCTGACACAGGGACACATCTGGGGCCTGGCTGTGGCTTCAGACCCTCCCACATTGCCAGTGTTTGCTGGAACAGCACATTGTATTAAGCATTCAGTGCCTTCTCTCTCTGCAGTCACTAGAACTCATCACTAGAGAGTGTGCCTGCTGCAAGGGCTCTTCCCCAGTGCAGTATCTGGTCTCCTAGGCTTTCTCCTGGGCCAGCTTTCCAAAGTCACCACCAGACTCAAGGATACAAGACAACGTCCATTCCCTCCCCTCACTGGTCAGCTCCAAGCTCCCACCTGCTTTGCACCAGTGGCCTGGTGGACAGGGGAGGCAGTCTTCTCTCTTCACAGCTCCTGGAACATCTCTAATGGTATTCGCAGGACACGGTGTTGGTACCTCAGATCCCTCCAGGCAGTAGAAACCTACAGGAATGGATGGGAAGGAGATGAAAATAAGATCTGAAAGGCCTCCAATGGCAAGAATGGCTCAGCAAGAGCCTCCTGTTGTTGCAGGATGAACACCTACACAGCTATGGGGATGCTGCTGTGCATTTAGAGAGCCAAACCAACCGCACTAGCAGTCTAGCACTACAAATTCAAGGCAGCCTTTAGGTCAAGCACAGCTCTTTGTTAAAAGGCACAAAACCAGAGGCAACCCATGAGCACTGACAGCTTCACAGAAGGGATCACACTGTATTCTGCACGATAACAGGTGCTCTCCAGCGAGTCACTGTCCTACACTTAGCATACGACTGAGATCCTCACTTACCTGCAGGACACAGCCCTGCGCACTCCTGACCCCAGTGGCACCCCGTCAGCAAGCGCCAGGAGAAGCTGTGGCCCTGGGGAGTGGACTGGGAGCTCCCAGCAAGGCAGAAGTATCCAGCAGCACATTTCCCCTCCAGCCGCCCATGCCTGCAGCAGGGAGCACAGTGAAGAGCTTTTGTAGGACCTGCTGCTGAGGATCTGGTGCAGGGAGAGATGCGATGAACTTGGCCATGAAAAAGACCTTTTTAAGCTGATACAAAACAGACCCGTTTTTCCACTTACAGAACCATGAAGGTAGCTTGAACCAGGCAGCTCTCAGTTCAAATTCCACGAGCATGGGCAAAGTGCTTTAGATGCAATTGTGGGTGACTTCCCACTGGGCTGGAATCCCTGCATTGCTTTCGTGCTTTCACAAACACTACCCACTATCCCTTTCAGATGTATCAGACTGCTTTGTCATCCCCCCAGAATCCATGGGTCCAAAAAGTACCCAAAAGCTGTGCCTAAGCTTCTGGTTCTTTCCTTTGAATGAGAGATGTGGTAGAGAGCTGGGAGGAACCTGGCATCGACTCATCAGCACAAAATAAGATGGCAAACTGCTTAAAATGGAGAAGAAACACAGCAGATCGAAATGGGTCCTAACCTGCAGTAGTGACCAGGTAAGCAAGGCAGGCATTCCTTCTCATTCCACAGACCACTCATATTTGCAGGAGTGAAGGTGCCTTCAGGACATGTGAGAGGAACCCATGTGCCTGAAAGGGAGCCCACAGAGACAATAAAACCCCTGTTGTGCTCTGACAAGACTCTAGAATGGAGGAGCTGACTCCCAGGAAGCAAGATGCCAACGACACCACATCTGCTCCTTGCCACTTCCCATCACCTGGCTTACAGGACGATACGCATCAGGTTTGTACAACTGGGGTCACACTGAAGCCACAACATTGGGATCCTTGGTGTGCAAGTTCCAGTGTACCTGTAGGGCAGTAGGAATGGGGGGGGCAGCGCCTGGGGTCTCCCGCCACCAGCTCCTGGCAGTAGAATCCTCTCTGGCACGGGATGCAGGCTGCAGAGCCGCTGGCTGGCTGGTACTGCCCAGCAGGGCACGGCGTTGGACGGGCTGCCCCGGAGCTGCAGAAGTGACCCTGGCAATGACAGGAGGAAGGGGATTGCATGGGGATAGGATCTGTGTAAAGGGTGATCCCAGAACTGCCCAAGCAGTGCTCTGTGGGGAGGTAACCAACAATCCCATGGCCTTTCACCACTGTGGGGAATGAAACCCCCTGCCTGGAGCTGAGATCCACCTCTCACTAAGCAGTACCTTAGGGCAGAGGAAAGCTGTGGGGCTGACGGAGCTGAAGTTCACTGGGCAGTAAAACCCCTCAGCACAAGGTCCTGTTGGAGAGCTCAGCCCAACACCAGCACAGAAGGAGCCAGGGTAGCACGGCACACAGCTCTGCGGGGAGGCACCACCTGGGAGCAGACCAGAAGTGAAGGCCAGCAGGGAGATGATGGATGGACACCCAGTGCTGCCACAGCATCGTCAGCGCTTCTCCGGACCGATAACCCATTGCCACCATCAGGCCTGGCTGCTGTGGACCACAGGAGAACCCTGTGGGTGAGGCCACACTCACCCGTGGCATTGTTCAGGGTCCCAGCTGGGCAGGGAACTGGGAAACGAGTGCCCTCTGGACAATAGTGCCCCAGTGGGCAGGGCCCGCTGAGCGGGAATGCAGGTGTCCCACGTGGAATGGCATCAGTGGCTCCCCCTTCACAGTAGTAGCCAGCTGCACACAGACCTGCCATGGGGGGACAGAGAGGGCAGCAGTCACCAGCCCATGGCACGGCGGTCAGTGAGGGAGCACGTCCTCAAACCCCCACAAGAACCTGTGTCACCACTGCTCATACCCTGGGCCACTCGCCTTTGGTTTGCCTTCCCTGCTTCCCATCCATCTTTGGCCTCTATCACTTCCCTTCCTGGCCTGCACTGACCTCACCTGGCATTTGCCTATTCTCCTCCCTTCTCTGACTGGTTCCCCATATTCTGTTTTGGGTGGGAAGAGCTGTGACTCTGCTCTTTATGCCTCCAACCTTTGCTTGTGGCCCAGTGACACCTACTCTGTGCTTAAATGGGAAGGGATGGATTTTGGAGGACAGAAAAGAGCAATAAAAGGGTTAAAAGCATAGAATGAGAAAATGGAAAAACCCAAGGGGGATAAGAGAAGTGATGCAGTAACGTCAAAGCAACATCCAAAACAAATGCTCAGCTCCAAGAATGAAACAGAAATGACTGATAGGCACAGAGAGAGGGCACGTGGGGTGCTTCTATAGCCTTCACGACCTCTGTTCTCTGCTTCCCCACATCCTTCAACCCCGACTCTCCACCCCTCCTGTGGTGGGTGTCTGCTACGAACAAAACTCACCATCAGGCTCCCAGTTGGCATCTCCTCTGCAGTACCTCCCCACTGGGCACAGCTTGCAGGCACTGCGGGCCAATGCCCCCTCCACAGGGCTCAGTGTCCCCTCGGGGCATGGCAGGGGCACAGCAGTCTGAACTGGACAGTAGTGACCTGTACATGGGGAGAGGGGAGGGAGGCACTGCTCAAAAGAGAAAGCAGAAGAGGAGGACACATGGAGCTTGCTCCAAGGGCAAATACCCCATCCCCTGGAGGGAATCAGCACCAGCAGTTGTGCAGGCATCAGTACCTGTTCCCATTGCTGCACACTGGTGTTGCTCACCTCTGGGGCAGCTCAGTGGCTCAACAGTGGCTGCACTGCTGCAGGCCATACCAGCAGGGCAAGGCAGGCAGGCACTGGCCCCAGGCACAGGGCTGAATGTGCCAGGCTCACAGGGCAGCTCTAGCACAGTGCCTGCAGGACAGTAGAAACCCCTGGGACATCTGTACCCATGAATCCCATCAGAAGGGCAGGGAGCAGAGTTTCCTTCCAGGCAAACATACCTGTAGAGAGAGAATTCAGACCTGAAACAAAGAGCTCACAGCCCTGCTCTGGAGAAATAGATGGGGGAGGCAATAATCAAGAACCAAGGGTCACCACAATAGAATCACGGAATGGTTTGGGTTGGAAGGGACCCTCAAAGCTCACCCAGTTCCAACCCCCTTCAATGAACAGGGACACCCCTCACTACAGCACGTTGCATAAGGAACATCCCTTAATGCAGGTTATGTCAGTTTTGATAAAACCAGTGAAATAACTTTAAAGATTCTAAGACAAATCCTATTGTTTTGCCCCAGGAAGCGAGTGCCTGCCATACCCTGCGTTACACAGCGGGGTCTGGGCTGCATCAGACAGTCCTGCCCCACTGCAGTAGCGTCCAGGCGGGCAGGGCTGGCACTGCCCCGCTGCCTCCAGCCCCACCATGCTGGAGAGGGAGCCAGGAGGACAGGGTATGGGATACTCTGTACCACTGGGACAGAAGTGCCCTGCAGGACAGATGTCATTCCCAGGCAGCCCAAGGCTGGAAGGTTCCACCTGCATCAATAAAACACAAAGGAGAGAAGTGTTACTGAGAGACTTGGCACCATGTGCTACAGACAAGGCTCTGGAAAGGGCACAGAGGAGCAGGGTTAGAATATCCCAGATTGGTTTGGGTTAGAAGGGACCTTAAAGCTCTTCCACTTCCAACCCCTGCCACAGACAGGGACCCCTTCCACTGGAGCAGCTTGCTCCAAGCCCCTGTGTCCAACCTGGCCTTGAGCACTGCCAGGGATGGGGCAGCCACAGCTTCTCTGGGCACCCTGTGCCAGCGCCTCAGCACCCTCACAGGGAAGAGCTTCTGCCTTATCTCCAACCCGAGCTTCCCCTGTTTCAGTTTGAACCCATCACCCCTTGTCCTATCACTCCAGTCCCTGATGAAGAGTCCCTCTCCAGCATCCTTGTAGCCCCCTTCAGACACTGGAAGCTGCTCTGAGGTCTCCCCACAGCTTCTCTTCTCCAGGCTCAACAGCCCCAGTGTTCTCAGCTGGCTCCATACAGGAGCTGCTCCAGTCCCTGAGCATCCTCATGGCCTCCTCTGGCCTTGCTCCAGCAGCTCCGTGTCCTTCTGATGCTGAGGTCCTACAAGCCTGCTGCTACTGGAACTAAACAAAGACCACAGCTGGCACTGGCTGCCGAGATGTGGCTATCCCATCCCCGTGCCATCTCCTGGAGGGGTATTAGACAGGAGACTCCAGTGCAAGCTACACAGGGGTCTGAGCAGGGTTTATCTGTGGGCAGCAACATATTGCAGCAGACGTCAAGAGCAGTGGTGTATCATTACACCTGAGGAGCTCTCAAGGGCAGCAGTAAAAGGCATAAGCAACCCCATAGAGAGCAGAAATGCTTGGAAAACGTTGCCCCAGAAGGGACAGGTCCCCATGTGACCGGGTCTACTGTGCTGCTGCCTGGCACTCACTCACCCTGTGTTTGAATGGGGCTGGGGTGATGGCTCCCTTGGCACAATGATAACCTGAATAGCACAATCCAGACGGCTGTGACAGGCCTGGTGCTGAGCAATACATGCCTGCAAGGAGCAGAAAAGCAATCTCAGTGGGAGGGCCTGCACAGAAGATCAGTGGAGGAGTCAACAGCATGACAGGAGAAGTGTTCCTCATCCTTGCCATGTATGCCCCTGGGTTGCTTGTGCCAAGTCCCTGCTCACCTGCAGGGCAGGGCTCACAGTCAGACTCATTGGTGGCACCACTCCTGGGGCCAAAGGTGCCCTTTGGACATGGGTGCTCCGAACTGGAGTTGGTGCCGGGCAGGCAGAAGTACCCAGCAGGACACACCTCAGGAGTATGGGCTCCAGAGCCTAGGACACAAGCACAGCACCTTGCTCAGGGCAGGTGACAGCAGCACAGCCCCATCCAGGGAGCTGTGCAGCCCCATTCCGTGTGGTTCATCCTGCTGCATGCATGAGCAGTGACATAGTGAGAGCTCTGTGACTGGTGTTCTCCTGGGCATGGAGCTTCTTTCCCCAAATAGGAGAAAGATTTGGCTTCAGCCTACTTGCTCACCCAACAACCCCATGGGCTTTCAAATGGGTTTTCCCTTCCATTCTTGGCAGGAACTGCAGCCCCTGCATGTCCAGTCCAACCCACACTGACTTAGCAGAACCTTAACAGAAGAAAGGCAGCATTCAGAACCCCTTTTATTGTCTGTGTCACTAACAGGAAGACTCAGCCCTTAATGACATGGAATCCCTTTTACCCCAACACACACTCCTCACAGGAGAGTCCTGCTGGGCAGAGGGCACAAAGTCCTTCCTCTCCTGGGACTGCTATGCCCCATTCTCACAGGGTATAGGGAGGGCAGATCCCAGCGGGCAGTAAAAGCCCCATGGGCAGTGATGGGGGTTACAGGGGTGCAGTTGTAGCCTGCAGAACATGGTCCTTCAGAACTGGTTTTGCCCAGCTCTGCAACGACAAAAGCAAACCCCTTCCTCTTCCTTTGCCAGATCAAAGGCAATGGAAACCCTTAGCTCCTGAAATCACCATCTCCATCATACACACATACCTGTAATACGTGTCAGAAAGCACCAACTCTGAAGCTCAGCCTCAGACAAAGGACATCTTACTGTACAGGAAAGTAAGCTCTGAATTATGTGCCTGGTTTAACACAGGCTTCCAGTTCGGTGCTCAGCTGTGACTGATGCTCAGTTGTGGTTCCAGCTCTGCTAAAAGCTTTGTGTTAGCTCAGTCAAGTCAGTTCCTTCCCGTTGCTTCAATTCCTCACCTGAGAAAGTCCAAGCCTCTCTGTCCCACAGAAGGTGATGGGTGAAGCCCTTACAGTCAGCGTGAGCACAGACACTGCAGTGCTGGCTGGGGAGCACAGGAACATCTTGCACAGCCAGATGGTGAGAACAGCTGAGAAGCTGCTGTTAGCGAGCACCGAGTGCCTGTTTGCTGAGCTGTTCTGTTTCCCTGAGGCTAAAGACACAGTGGACATCTAGAAGAGGAGGCTGAGCCAAGGGAGAAAGGTGTGATAACAAGCAAGAAGTGTTACGGGTGACCTGAGACTGATACTGAGATCCCAACGTGAGTTTTGGGAGACAAATGACAAGGGGCATTTATACTGGTATGCAACCTGCAGAAACCAAGCCGAGTTTCTCCTCCTGTACCTGCTAAGCACGAGCTTGTAAGAATAAAGCTGCAGTGGGTGTCTATCTCGGCTCACACTGTGTAACTCACCACTGCAGAAGTACCCAGCTGGGCAGGGCTGACAGGCTGCAGGTTGCCATTTCCCACTGTCAGGGTTGAAGCTTCCAGGGCTGCAAGGGACTGGGGATTCAGAGCCTTCAGGACAGTAGGAGCCAGGGGGGCAGCGCTCCTGATCTGGCTGCGTGGCTCCACGGTGACAGAAATACCCAGGGTAACACATTCCTGCAAGGGAGAAAAGCTCCTGCATTAGGTTTAAGCAACCAGAGAACATCAGGAAAGCCAATCCTGGGAGACAAGAAAGATGTCAGACGCACGCAATACACACCAGAAGCACTGGGCAGGCCTTCTCCTTGGCAGAACCTCCCCGCAGGGCAGGGCACACAGGCATTACCATGAACCATGCCAGCCTGAGGCAGAAAGGTGCCAGCAGGACAGGGCTCTGGCTTGCTGCTGCCTGGTGGGCAGTAATGTCCTGCTGGGCAAAGGCTGCCTGCCTCCTCATGGGCAGGGTTGGGGACTCGGGCCTCTGAAGTGCAGTAATACCCAGGCAAACAAGGACCACTCGGGGAGGAGAGTCCTAAAGACAAGGAGCATAAAACATAAACCAGTGGGTGATGTAAATCACAGCTTTTGGACTAAACAACCCAGCCAAGCCTTGCCAGCACAATGATTGCAGAGTCTGATGGCCCCTTAAAAGCTCAATCCAGGGTCTCCATATTCACAAACCAGGTAGCTAAAGGCTTAAAGAGCTTTCTAGATCACCTTCACAGATGGGGGGGATTGGTCTATCCACTGAGAGGCAACCAAAACCTAATGAGTCCTAGAACCCAAGCTGCTTGGTTTGTGGTTTCATCATCTTTGCTTAACCAGATGCACCTCAATCTGCCTCTTTCATTCAGCTTACAAAGACTGCAAAAATCTTGGACATGATCACAACAAATCTCTACTCAAGGGGTCCCAGAGCTCACTGCAAATGATACTTCAAAGTCCCATGAACTGCATACAGAAGAGCACCCACTGGAGAAACCTGGCTCTGCTCCACACAAACCAGCCTAGGATTCTATGTAACCCACAGGTGATTCCTACCTGCACCGGCACAAAACATGCCTCCAGGACAAGGCTTGCATTCCCTGGGGTTTGCCAGCCCAGTTTGGTTGCTGTAGGTGCCCTCTGGGCACGGGTATTGATTGGCAGCTTTTGTTCCTGGCAGGCAGTAGTATCCTGCTGCGCATTCTACTGCCTTGACCACAGCATGTGGGGAGTTCTGGAGATCACCCGGATGGGCTTCTAGGGCACAGAACCTGCCCAAAAGAGCCCAAGTCTTGCTTCAGGCCATGCTCTTCCCTCTGTCCTGCCAGAGGCCAAGGAACTTGTGCACAACAGCGACAGTCTAAGAGTCCATGATAAAAGGAAAGTCAATTACATGGAAGGAAGTAAATGGAGAGCTAAGATGCAACCTGTCAGGAGCATTTTGTCCATCCCAGCAGACAGAGCTCCCAGGATGGGTTTTCTATGGGTCACAGACTGTGGTACAGAAAAATGACACGATAAAGGGAAAGGTGATAACAGAGCCAAGAAAACCAGCCCTGTGTATCAAAGGATACAACACACAGAGCAGTCTAAGGCAGAGGGAAATGCACATGCTAACTCCTAAAGGAAAGCATCAAGGGCAAGGAGAGAATCCACTTCACTTACATCCCTGCTGGGCATGTTTCACACTGGCTCTTCCCAGCCTGATCCTGGTATTTTCCAGAGGGACAGGGTATGGGCTCTGGGCTGCCAGGGGGGCAGTAGTGACCCACAGGACACAAATAGTCTATTAACAAAGAAAGAAACACACTTGTAATGTCACTGCTCTGCTTATGTGCTGAACAGCTCTATAGTGCCACGAGGGGAAGCATCACCACACACCTAGAACTGGAAGATTTAATAGGATATAAAATCTTTATAAAGCTATTCTGCACGGCCACATGGTTCAATAACTTCCTCTTCAGAGCCCCAGGGATGTTTTTAATCCATCAGAATCCGAGTTACACTTATGCTTATATCACTCCTATGAAAGGGAGAATAGACAACTGCTTATACATCTTCTTGCTCTCTTTCTAACAAAGGTGAAAATATCCCATGGAATAAACTTCTCTTGGGATATTGTTTTCAGCTTGGGTTTTGCCATGGTAAGATCCCCTCTTTTTCCTACTATATTTACACACAATTTACACACCACTAAACCTGTGTTGCAAACACATTGTAATCTAAAGAACCAGTCATTTCTAAACGTGACTTGGAAGCTTAACTAAGGTCAGATTTTAAGCCCTGTGACTCCTGTGGGTAAAGAACGACCCAAGGATTTCCTACCTGGATGCTGGGCTGACACAGAGCCCTCTGGGCAATACCATCCTTCTTTACACAAGCCCTCTGGGGAGCTCTGGCCGTGCTGAGAGCAGAACCACCCTGGGGAGCAGGGCTGGCAATCCTCTGCTGACTGGCCCCCATCATGAGCCAAAAAGGAGCCTGGAAAGAAAAAGCCATCCAAAGCACATCCTCTTGTCATCCTAGACTAGAGGAGAAGAGCAGGAGCTGCTCACACAGTACCTAACTACACCAGCCCCAGAAACCTCCTGCAGAAGATGCCAAGAGGATGCTGGCAAGGAAGGAATCCAAAGGGAGTACAGTCCCTTTGGAGAGTAGATGACAGGTTGGTCCTGAGTGCTGGCTGGGCTGAATTCCTCTTTATTTCTGGTCTGGACTGAGCAGTGCAACCACTTGTTCAATATAAAAGGAAAGAAACAAACATTCCATAGTCTTTCTCCTTCAACTTAACCATCTGTCTCGTGAATGGTGACAGTAAAGGACAGCTCTTGATGTGCAGGGAGGGTGGCAGTGGTGTGCTGGGCTGTGTGACCTCTCCTTCAGCATCATGCAGGCCACAAGCTGAGGCTCCTGAGGCAGCTGTGCAACTGCTCTCTGAGGGCACATCTAGGACTGTTGTTCCCAATACAACAGCACTGGATTAGAGGATGTGCTGACAGCAGCTGTCCCTTGGGGAAATAAAGGGGCAGCAGGACAATGGTACAGCCTCAGGCTCAGCAGTGCACTGGGAAGAGAAATGGTTGAATGCAGCAGCTGCCATCAAACCTACCTGGAGGACATGGAGATGGAGAAGAACTCCCTGCAGGACAGAAGTGGCCCCGAGGACAAATGTTCCCTCCTGCTCCATCCGTGGGGTTTGGGAGTGCTGAGCCCCCTGTGCAGTAGAAGCCAGGTTCACAGGGACCTGATGGAGCCGAGAGCTCTGCTGTTGCACAGTATGAACCTGATGCAGGGGCAGAAGCAAGGCTGTCATCTAAGAGCGCTCAGAACCAGTCCCAGCACAAGACTGGAATTGCCCCTGCTCTTGGCAAAAGGAAGAAGAGCACACATGGGCAAAACCCCATTGTTGCAGGAAGCAAACAGTCTTCTCCTACCTGGGGTGCAGGGAAGAGGAAGAAAGGACCCAGCAGGACAAAAGGTTCCTGCTTGGCACAAGCCAAGAGATCCAGAAGCTGGAGCTGCCATGCCTGCTAATGGAAAAGACATAGACTGAGTTGAAACAGAAGAACTGAGAGTACTTAAAGCTCAGGAAAACAGAACTAGAGTGCTGAATGAAGGAAAGGAAGCAGGAAAGTAACCCACCCTGAACTGCCTGGACCCTACAGGTGACTCTGTAATGCCACCTTCTCAATAACAACAGTCATCATGCTCTACCATTCCCCTTTGTACCAGAGTGATTGCCAAGGAACACTGGTTTGCTTGATGTGGATCCAGGTGGACAAAACCATCCAGGCATGCACAGTCCATCTGGTCTTGTTAGGCCTGGCTTGGAACAGACCCTTCCAGGAGGACACAGCTGGCACTTGGAAGTATCATAGATGTTTAAAGCTTCACTGTAGGTTCCAGGGGGACAGGGATACTGAGTGGCAAACTCTGTATTCCTGGGGCAATAGTGACCTAGGAAAGAAGAGAGAGGTTTCATAAAGGTTAACACGTGCTGAAGAATCACCAACCTCTTCATCTGAGAAGGACTCATCCCAAGCTTCTCAGTTTTAATGAGAAGGTCTCAAAGTGTATGATAAAGATCAAAGCTGATGCTCTATTTACCATTTTCCTCATTCAGACAGGAGCTGAATCTCAAACAGCTTAAGTGCTTTGACCAAAGACATTGACCTGTCCATCTGCTGCATCATGCAACCAAGCCCAAGGACAAATTCACTCCAAACAGCTGTCAGGACATCTGCTAATCCCAGATTATCCAATCCCAAACTGGCCCAGGATGAGTGGGCAGAGCGACCAGACCCACCTGCAGGGCAGTCGGTGTAGTTTGCAGAAGCAGCCGTGCAGTAAAAGCCTTCTGGGCACTCCAGACACTGCGCCATGCTCCAGGATGGGCTGTAACTCCCTGCAGGGCATGGCTGGGCTCTGCTGCTCCCCACCTCACAGTAATGTCCCGGTGGACAGGGTCCTCCTCTGACCGTTGTCTTGCAAGAAGAACACCCCAGTTACAAGGCTACCAACACAGGGGTGGCCCTTGCAAAGTGATTTGGGTCAGGTTCTTACGCTGATGAGAACCAGATGTGTCGTATGAAATCCTGTGCTCAATCCTTGGCCTGCATCCCTATTCCTTTTCCAAAAGAAGGGATCAGAACTGTGCCCATAACAAGTCTTGCTGGGATGGCCATTTGGAAGGTGACAGCACCCTTTCATCAGTCATAGTCTGCAGAGAGCTGGGGCATAACCCAGTGTTTGCTGGGTTATCACCTTTAAAGATTCTCACTGTATTTTGCCTAGGAGGGGGGCTGACAGATGCAGGGTTCTCATCAAACTCCTGCACTCCTAACCTCTGCAATTCTAATCTGGTACAGCATTCCAGTCTGCTTTGCAGCATCAGTATGCAGATAGAGAGTTCTTTTTGGTCAGCTCTTAGACGTAAAAGCTGAAAGAAGGCCAACTGCCCCTTTTGCTATCAAGAAACCAGATGCACCGATGCACCCAATACACAACGTAAGGTAGTTAAGGGACAGTTCAATCAGGGGCAAAAGAACTAAGGTGACTTTATGGTCTTCAGTTCCACAGATATATTTTACACTCTTCACAGTACAAGCACAGCTTACCCTGGGAGGCTTAGGAGAAATGGCTCCTCCACTGCAGTAAAACCCAGCCTCACATAATCCAGTTGGAGAAACAAGTCCAGTCCCATCACAGAAATACCCTGAAATGAAGAGGGACCACAAAATACCCTGAAATGAAGAGGGACCACAAAAGGACCATAATGATATTGGTCACACGAGACAGACAAACAGCAAGTATGCAACGAGGAAATCATCACTGAAGCATCACGTTTGATGGCACTGACATCTATTCTCCTGGAGATGCTGTCACTGCGAATAGCTGCAAGTACAGAGCTTACATGCCTGAACAAACAGCACTCCTTGTATCATCTGCAAGGGGCTGGAACTGGATCATCTTCAGGTCCTTTCCAACCCAAACCATTCTGTGATTCTATGACTTTATGACCTCCAAGTACAAAAGCACCTAGAGAAAAGGTGGAAAGGGAAGCTCGCAGTGCAGATGCAGTCTCTCTATGTTCTACCCTGTATCTCTCTCCATGAAAGCAGTTGTTCATATTGCCTGCTCTGGAACCACAAAGTGTCTCAGGAGCCCTAGAAATGCTGGTGCTTGGCTAGAATCTCATTCATCCTTTCTTTTGATATTGTACCTGCATCACATAGGAGACAGTCCTTGATCCTAGTATTCCCAGTTGAGTTGCTGTAATAACCAGGAGGACATGGCTGTGGAAAGGCAGAGCCCATAGGACAGTAAGTCCCCTTTGGGCACGTGTTCCCCAGAAGACCATCTGTAGGTGTTGGAACAGAAACACCTCCTCTGCAGTAGAACCCAGCCAGACAAGGTCCTGTAACATGGGACTGCCCCACAAGTGCACAGTAGTGCCCTGAGAAAGCAACGCAATGCCATTAGTAGGGGCAGGAAAACACCCCAGATACTCCAAAGAGGAAGCTACACAAGTCATCCCTGAAGCTCAAGAACATTCCCAATTTTCACACATTCTCCTGTCATATTGAGATGTCCTTAGCTGCCGCTTGCCTGGGTCACAGCGGGTGCAGTGAGACTTCAGGCTGCTTCCAGTCTGGGGGTTGTAAGTCCCCTTTGGACATGGGAACTGAGTGGCAGAGGCAGTACTTGGAGGGCAGTAGTGGCCAGCTGGGCATTCATTCTCCATAAAGGAAGAGGAATTTTGGGGGCAGAAGAACCTAGTGTAAAAAGACGTTAAAAAAGAAAGAGAAGCAATAAGACATTTTCTAGCAACATTCCATCCACAAATACCTGAATAGCAACTTAGTGGTGGGGCCAGCTACTCTAATGTGGTGTATTGACCACAAGAGACCTACTTATGCATATTTCACTACATTTTGAGCTGTTTCCTCCTCTGCCAAATTGATGGCATAATTGCAAAAGCCACAGAGACATAATTTGCTTAACTTGAGTCACAACACATCCAGGCTGTGATTCACCAACTTGTAAAAGTTAATCAAGGTCAAATCCAGGCAGTAATTGGAGATGAATCCCCACAGGAAAAAGCCAGACTCAGCATCAGGTGATACCCAAGATCCTCTTCCCCTTCAACAGGCTTGTTGCCAAGGGAACAGTCTCTTACTTTAGACATGGGAAAGGTTCATGGTGCTAGTGGTTTCCTTGCTCCAGATAACTTTCTGATCTGAATTCCAGTGTAGTTGTACCTGGATTTAGGACTCTGCCTGCTCCCACAGTCAGCTGTAGCGTGGTTAAACAGAGCTCTGCTTCCTCACAGAGACTTTTCAGTGCTTTTCAGTGGTAAAAGAACTCCTTTTCCCACCACACTCCTCTCCACAATGACTGGATAAACAATTGTTCCTAATAGCCCCTTACTCACACCTAAAATGTGCGAGTACGGGACTCACACGTAGGGGACTCAGTGTCTCACCCTTACCCTTCAGGACAGGGGAGGCAGCTGCCTTGCCTTGGAGAAGGGTTATAGGACCCTGCTGGACAAGCAAAAGGAAGAGCTGTGCCCTTGGGACAGAAATACCCTGGAAGAGAAAGAACAGACCAGAATCAGCAGCCTTTGGAACATCAAGGACGAGTCAGACATTTAAGCAGGACATTAACTCACCTTGGGGACAGGGCTGTGGCTTCTCACCAGAGACACAGTATTCCCCCTCTGGGCAAGCACGGCACTCCTCTCCATGGGTGTGTGGCACATAGGAGCCAGGGGGGCATGGAGCTGGACTGCTGGATCCGAGAGGACAGAAGTGACTGACTGGACACGGAGCTCCTGAGAGGCCATCAGTGGGAGCGGAGGACCGGGCCCCAGAGATGCAGTAGTACCTGCAGCCAGGAAAACATCCTTATTTCCACAAGGCCAAGAAGAGCCCTTGTAGACCTCCTCTTCTTACAACCCAGCATGTAAATGTGTGTGCTCCTCTACTCACCCTGGGCTGCAGGGTCCTGAGGGGGCTCTCTGCCCTGAGCTATTGCAGTAATATCCCCCAGGGCAAGGCTGGCACTCCTGCAAGCTCCTGCTGCCTTCACCACCAGCCCATGTGCCAGGAGGGCACTGCAATGGAAGGGGGGCACCTGGCAAAATACATTGTGCTGGAGTGAGGAAACACCACCTCATGCCTTCTGCGACTGACGAACAGCTCTGCTTTAGCAAAGCACTCTACCTTCAGGGCAATAATGACCAGGAGGACAAGGAAGTCCTGATTCTCCATCTTGGGGGGCTCTTACTCGGGCACCACTTTTGCACCAGAACCCCTCAGCACAATCTCCTAGAAAACAGAATAACTGATACAAAATACATGAATCTATTAAAAGATATCAACAAGTTCTTGATAAGCAAATGGGATAGTTCACCTAAGCTGAGATCAGCACCCTAGAGTCCTAACACCAGTCCATCAGTGCCTGCCATGACTCCAACACCACTGAATACACTCAGGAGAGCAGCAATTTACCTGTTGGGGCAGCAAGCCCAGAGAATTCACAGTATTTTCCTGGTGGACACCTTTGGCATTCTGTGATTGCTTTCAGTTTTTGCCTTGGTCCAAAGGTTCCTGCAGGGCAGCTGTACTGAGTGCTGCTGTTTGTTCCTGCTGGGCAGTAAAACCCTCGTGGGCATGGGTAAAGGGTAAAATCAATAACTGGCCCCTGCTGGTTGTTACAGTAATAGCCTGCAGAGGAAAGAAAGCTATGTTAGGAGGTAGTTCCTAGGAGATAGTAGCTATTGAGGTGCTGCTCATTAGGGGAGAACAGGTTCCCCCAGGCACACACCTCTGAATTGCTTTAACCTCTCATGGCCTTTTCACACAAAGCCAGAACTTGCTCTTCTCCAAGCCAAGAGAGGGAAACCACCAAGACAGGCAGCAAGTCTCTAAACCTGCACCCATAGGAAGGCTCAGGAGGCAGCAGTCAGCAGCCACCTCTTGTATGATGTATGGAATGCCAATTGGATAGGGTGAAAACAGAACTCCTGTTTTCTGGATGCCTGCACAGCCTACAGCTCCTTCTCGACTCCTGGCGGATCTCCCAGCAGAGGAATGTTTTCCACCTCTGGCTTTTCCTCTCTAAACCACTGGCTCACACGTTATCACAGTATCACAGTATGTTAGAGATTGGAAGGGACATGAAAAGCTCATCCAGTCCAATCCCCCTGCCGGAGCAGGAACACCTAGATAAGCTTACACAGGAAGGTGTCCAGGCGGGTTTTGAATGTCTCCAGAGAAGGAGACTCCAAACCTCCCTGGGCAGCCTGTTCCAGTGTCCGTCACCCTCACTGAGAAGAAGTTTCTTCTCATTTAAGTGGAACCTCTTGTGTTCCAGTTGTACCCACTGCCCCTTGTCCTATCATTGTTTGCCACTGAGAAGAGCCTGGCTCCATCCTCGTGACACTCCCCCTTTATATATTTATATACACTAATAAGGTCACCCCTCAGTCTCCTCTTCTCCAAACTATAGAGACCCAGCTCCCTCAGTCTTTCCTCATAAGGGAGATGCTCCACTCCCTTAATCATCTTATTTGCCCTGCGCTGGACTCTCTCCAGCAGGTCCCTGTCCTTCTTGAACTGAGGGGCCCAGTTCATGTGAAGCTGTCCAATACACACAAACACACTTTCCTTTGAGCATGTGCCCAGAGACTCTCAGTCCGTTTATCCATGACTTACCTTCCCAGCACTGTCCGGTCGGAGCAGTGAGGCCAGGTTCCTCACAATAGAAGCCAGAGGGGCAAGGCTGGCACTCAGAAAGCGTTCTCCTCCCCTGGAGGCTGGAAAAGGTGCCAGCAGGGCAGAGCTTGGGTACTGCTGATGCTGCAGCTGCGAGGACAGAGAGAAACGAGCAGTGAAAGATGAAGGAGGTCATTGCTGTGTTCAGGGCTTGGATGAACGTGCAGCAGCATGGAAACAGGATCAGGGCAGCCATGTGCTTCATGCAGAGCTCAAACAGAGCTGCATGGGAGAGGACTGACATTAGCAGCTTCATTTAACAAGGGAAAATGAGGTGCAGCTGATTACAATCCAAAGATGGAGGAGTTTGGGTGCTGAGACAAATCTATCACTCCCCACTTTCAAAGAACAGGCCAGGGGGGAAACTAGGGGAAGGATCAGAGCCTTCAGGCAGTAGCAAGTTGGCCACCACACTCCCAAAATCACCCCCAGTGATTTCAGATATTGCAGGACAGGAAAATTTCTGTATTTCAGACATTATGTGACATGAAATTTTTAGTCCTGCTGGATACCTACTGCAGTAAGTGCCCCCAGGGCAGATATTCCCAGTCACACCATCTGTTGGGTTAGGGATTGTTGCTCCAGCTTTACAGTAAAAACCAGCAGTACATTCCCCAGTGGGCACAGACAGACCTGGAGGACAGAGGGGATAATGGCACTCAAAGCACTAAGGTAAAGGAAGGAAAGCAGGAAAAACACACACTCAAAGCGTCCCTCTGGAATACACCAAAGGCATCCCGCAAGCACCATCACAGCTCTACAGGAATACCAGGATAAAATCAGCTCCTCTTTAACACATGGAAGGAATACTGAAAGGATGGAAATGGAGCAGGAGAAAATGAAGCAGCGTTTTGTCTGTATCCCACCATCTGCAGGCGCACAGAACACAGGGAATTCTGTCAGGAGATCCGGATACTCCATGTCTATGAACCTATAGCCACCTGTGTTCCCACCGGTCCTCGAAGATGGCCACGGAGGCAGTGACTCACTTGAAGACACACAGCAAATTCTGGGAAACCCAGGTTTATCACCCAGAAACAAAACTAGATTTAGGGTCCTCTACTGAGCTCTGAAACAACAAACATTTCCCTGCTCATACAATGCCTTCATTTGAACTCCCCTCAAACCAGATCGCTCCTGCTCTCCAAACACACAAACCTGAGGCATTGCAGTAAAACCCTGGAGGACAAGGAAGTGGCTCTGGGCTTCCTTTGGGGCAATAGAAACCAGCTGTGCACTTCCCTCCAGTGGCAGTGGCTGGGCAGAGGCAGTTGGTATTGGTGTAGTTATCCAGATCAAAAGGCTGTGAGGTCCAAGCAGCTGAGATGCAAAACCAACCTGAGAACAAAAAACATGACTGAGAAGCTCTAGTGATGACAGAGCCCCAGGAATTCTCATGAATAACCCATCCTGGATGGCTCTGCTGCAGGACACAAGCATCAGCCTCCCAAAACTAGGCTGTCCCCAAGTGCTGGGCAATGCAAAAGCCACAGAGATCCAGTCTCACCTGCATCACACATGCCTGAGGCAGCTGTCAAGTTCTCCTTCCCACAGTAGTGCCCAGGAGGACAGGGCAAGCAGCTATCCAAGCTCTGTGTCATGGGATCAGGGTTATAGTAGCCCCGCGGACAGGGGAACTCAGTAGCAAACCTGGTTCCTTTGGAATAAAAAGAGCAAATAGCTTTCATGGACTATAAATACTGTCTTGGCTACCAGTCCTGCTGTATCACTTCATGTGGCATCCTACGGTTCGAGGTCATCTTTGCCAGTTTATGTCACTGCTGACCTTCCCAGTGCACAGCTTGCCCTTCATGGCCAGGCAGACAGGGCTGTTTGGTTTGCCTTTAATGCTCAAACAACAGCCATAGCTGTGGTTTCCAGGGCTGGGGTTTCCTTCTGTGGAGAACCAGACTGACACTGAAACCTTTGGTCCACAGAGACAGTTTCTTGGCCCATGGATTGCCTTGTCCCCCCAGACCCATCTCACCTTTGGGGCAGTAAAAGCCAGCTGGGCAGGGGTTCATACTGTAGCTGGTGGTGTTTTCTGGGCAGTAGTAGCCTGCAGCACAGGGGAAGCATGCAGCTTGTCTGGTGAGGTTGTTGTAAGTCCCTGCAAGGCAGGGCAAGGGGAAGCTGCTTCCTTCTGGGCAGAAGTGGCTCACAGGACAAGGACCTCCTTTCTCCCACATACCTAGAGCATAGGAAGCACAGAAACACGGCCCGCAAAGGGGGCTGCTGAGGGAGGGACAATGCTAACAAAGGTCCACCAAGAAAGATGTTGTCTTCTCTGGGATCCCAGAAGACAGAGCAACACAGTAACTAGAATGACCACAGTATGCCAGCTTTGGGATTGTTTGATGCTGTGTTACCATGCCTCTTCTCTCCTTGCTTCACAGGCAAAGCCACAACAAATCATATTGAACAGATCAGCTTTCTAAATGCTCTGCTTCTCATCTACCAAGAATTCTGGAGAACATGGAATTCACTATGAGAGATCTGTAACTCTTCCCTGGACATTCTTATTTCTGAGACACAATAAAATGGCCAGGAGCAACCAGGCTATGTCCATTACAGGCACAACGGGAACTGCCTGGGGCCAAACCCCCTCATTATTGGCCCCAGACAAATGAAGACACCAATACTTGTTCACCCAGGGCAGCTCACCCTGTGGGGATGGTGAGGAAGCTCCACTCGAGCAGTAGTAGCCAGCCGAGCAGGGTCCTGAGGGTGCTGTGAGGCCAGCAGAGCTGCAGTAATAGCCAGATGGACACACTGTGCAGCTGGAGTCCTGCCTGTTGTAGAGCCTGGGGAGGGACACAAGCAGGCTTTCTGTTGGCAGGAGCACAGGTTCAGCAGTAGACCACTGACACCTACAGCTCTGGGCAAGTGAAAGCACCCATGAGGCTTTTATGATCAATGCAATGTGTCTAATGAGCCTTGCTGAGTTGTACTTTGCTACTTAAAGGACTAAGGGAGAAACCAAAAGGAAAATACCAATGAATATCAGCAGAACCAAGAAAACTACTTACCTGTCAGAGTAAGTGCCCATAGGGCATTGCTGGGGGATGCTTGTGCCAGCTGGGCAGAAGTGGCCAGGGGGGCACGGACCACCAGTGCTCGTGTTTGTGGCTCCATCAGGGTTTGGGATGCTTGCTCCTACATGAGGAAGGTAAAGCAAAGGTGTTCTGAATGACACAGGTAGCTATTCCTGCCTAAAGAAACATTTCCACAGCTGAAAGAAGAGAGCAGCTGATTGTTACTCAGGCCAATCTATAGTGGAATGGAATAACTAACAGCAAGTACTAGGGGGGAATGGAGCCATTTGGATGGCTTAGTCCACCACAGACCTACTCCTCTAAGAGCTGAGATGTCAGGAAGAAGGAGACAATGACCACACATGATACAATTGCACGTAAACCCCTATATAGCTTTAACTATAGCTCACAAAATTCCTCCCTGGCATGTATCATCACTCTCCAGTGAATAGCCAGGAAAACATACCCAGAAGAGAATAAACTCATCTGAGTTCCCACTGCTGCAACCAGGGCGAAAAGTGACCCCAAATGCCCACCTTCCACGCTAAACTCAGAGTCATCTGCTTGTGGAAGGGCCAGTATGTACAGAAGCTGTTTAAGTTATATGGGAATAGTGAGAGCATCTATGGAGCCTGTCACCCACATCGCACAGCATGGATCTGAATGCTGATGGCAGCAGAGCTGCCTGCCTTCTGCACTTGACCTGAACGAGATCCCAAAGAAGGGATGAGCTGCCCAAACCAGCCACAACCAGAGAGCCAGGCCTCTAGGAAATCTGTATTTGTGTGGTTTTCAGCTCTAACTCAGACTCTTCTTAATAATTCCAAGCACATAAGAATTTAGGAGTAAAGTAAATGGCAGGATCCTTATGAAATCACCCAAACTCAGGATCCGTGCTTCCATGAGAGGCATCAAGCACTAATCCTCAGCAGCATGGTGGCAGCATGCAGCACAGAGAACAGTCAGTGCTACTGGATATGGTGCAGGAGGACTGAATGGTGTTGCCACCATCTTCCTATCTGTAGTTCTTTGTCCCTACAAATCCAAGCCCTCATTCTGTGCAAACATCAGCTGCAAGCTGCCAGGAAACATGCTCACAACAGTCAAATCCCTATGGTAATGACTTTCTTCAGTCTGCTTCTTGTAGTTTTCCCCAAAGTCCTTCTAGTAGGCTCAGAAAGCAGGTATCTAAATAGAGAAACTTATGATGGGACTGATGATAACCTTATCCCATTGCTTTATTCCTCAGGACCATCCTGGCACTCTCTGCAATGGGAGAGATTGTACAGAGAATGTACAAAACCTGATCCCTACACGGAATTCCTTTTCACTCCTCTTTTTGCCCTGCGAGCTCTAAATTCAATACCTGCTGTGCAGAAGAATCCTGGCCAACAGGGACCACTTGGAGAGGATAATCCCCATTCTCCACAGAACATCCCTGGAAAACCACAGAGGGAAAATAGCATCAAGTATGGGTAAACAGGGAGAACAGCCGGGAGAGCTGCGGTGCTGCACACATGCACTGGGAGGCAAAAGGGAAGACAGAGAGAGCCAGCTCCTCAGCATCAGCACAACAGGGACAGAACCACATCCCAACCCAGCTCATGGTCCTCTGGGAAACCCTGAGTGTAACCCAACCTTCTGCAGAGCCTCAAGGAAACCTGTGGCTCACTGGGGACACTGTCAGTGGGAGAAGGAACCTCCTGGACTGTGTGCTTTGATGTCTGTATTCCCTAGAGTTGAAACATGCACCAGTGGCTTAGGAAAAGGGATATGCAGAGATATCACCCTCGTAGACACTGCTCTGCACCGACAGAGTGATCTCCTCACCTGCAGGGCAGTGCTGACACCGCTCAGCCTGGCTGAGGCCATAGGAGGGGTTGTAGGTCCCAGGGGGACAGGGATAAAAGCTGATTCCAGTGTTCTGAGGGCAATAGAAGCCAGGAGGACAGCGACGGCGCAGTCCACTTGAGCAGTGGAACCCAGCAGGGCAAGGGAAGCATTTCTCTTGACCTGTGAAGGAAGGAGAGGAATTTAAAGGAACCATGTAATGAAGTGGAAGAAAACCACCATGTACACAGCTTCGCTCTGCCTTAGGAAGCAGGAATGGAAATGAAGCTATTCTGTAAGCCCTCCTGCTATTCAAACACAAACCAGGAGAGCTTGATTCAGCTTCTTGACTCCACCAGCCCCAGTGTCAGTAACCTCCACACCTCACCATAAGCAGAACAGCAAGGAAAGCCAGTGAACCGCTTACCAGCTCTCTGTGCACCTACTGCTCCAATCCTCACCCATGAGCTGGCTGCCAGGGTGAAACACATTCCCCATGTGACACGAGGGAAAAAACACCCCCCACCCCGACCCCTTTCTTTAGTCCCCCCCACTGAATGCTGATAATGGCCAGCAGCTCTCAGGACATTCTTGGATGCAGACAAGTAACACAACTGGTGTTTTCCACATCCCCCAGGTCACAGACAAGCTGCAAAGCTCTGGCTCCTGACCTGTTGCATTGCTGTATTCCCCACTGGGGCAGGGAGAAGGGGCTGCTGAGCCTGCAGGGCAGAAATGTCCTCGAGGACAGAGATCTCCAGTGAGCCCATCCTCTGGCTTTGCAGTCTTTGTCCTTCCCGTGCAGTAATAGCCTTAAAGCAGAAAGCATTTGAGTCCTGTCTCTGATCCAGAGCCAAGGGAGTTTTTAAGAAGCTAAAGGAGCTTTGCCTGGCTTTGTCTCACCTCGTGCACAGAGTCCCTCAGGAGCAGCCTGGCCAGACATGTTGCAGAAAAACCCAGGGGCACAAGGCAGGCACCAAGTGGCATCCTGGGCTCCCCTCTGTGCATTCCAGGTGCCAGCAGGACACGGCATCTCTTTTGGGTGGGTTGTGCCAGCAGGGCAATAATGTCCTTGTGGGCAGAGATCCCCAACTGGCAGCCCCATCTGAGGCGAGGGAAATGTGGTTTACAGAAGGTTTTGTAGTGCCAAAAGGCGTGAAGCAACGTGAGATATTCAGTACTCACGGGTGAGGAGGTGCTGGAACCTTGAAGGCAGTAATACCCTGGCTGGCAATGTCCCTCTGGCTCAGTCAGAGCAGCCCTGCTGCAGTACATGCCTGCGGGGCAGGGCTTGCAAGAACCTGCCCTGACTACATCGGTGTAGGTTCCCTGCACAGAGAGAACCAGTGAATGTCCTCTGCCAAGGGGCTGGGAGCCTGCACACAATCACTGCTTGAGACCCAAGGTCATATCTGACTCTTACCACTGGACATGGGAGAGGGAAGGAGCTTCCAGCCAAGCAAAAATGCCCTTTGGGACAATCCTGGGGTGCAGCCAGGCCTGCCTCACTGCAGAATGTACCCTCTGGACAGTCCCTACAAAGAGCCTGAGCACGAGCCTAAAGGGGGAACACAGAAAGCACTTGGCAGATGTGGGGTATTGCTGCTTGCCACATGAATCAGTGAACTTTGCACACTCTCCCAGCTCCCTACTACAGAATAAGCACCCTGAAGCACATGAACTGCAGTCTGAATGCAACGCCACTAAAGCAGTGGCAAGCACAGCCCTGATCTAACAGAGCCACAGTAGTATGCACAGGTGCATGTTAACTCACCCATGCTAGGCTGAAGCCTCCTCAGCCACTTCTACATTTGCACTATGGAAGAAAACTAAAGAGAAACTGCCAAATGAGCAAGAGACAACAGTGCTGGACTGATGGACCTGACATCCTGACCCAAACCTTCTCAGTTCTGAACAGTTCCTCTGTTGCAGGGTAAAAGCAAAGGAGGTGGTGATTACCCAATGCAGGAGAAAACCTTAAGGTGGCCACTTACAATGACCTCCTGTGTTTGTGTTCCCACACTGGACACTTTCCAAGGGCTCTGATGCCCCCTCCAAGTACATTACACCGTGTATACTAACAGACTTACAGGCTGGAAGCTGCCAAGAGGACAGGGCTCTGGCTTGAAAGCTCCTGGTAAGGAATAATGCCCTTCCATCACCACTTGCTGAAGAGCACTCTTGGCACCTCCTGTGCAAAAGTAGCCAGCTTCACAGGGTCCTGAGGGAGCTTGGCTGTTCGTCCCATCACAATACAGGCTATGTGGGGAAAAAAGACACCGTGGGTACAATAGTTCCTTTTGTCACTGGATAACAGTCTTGGTATAAAAATACCCCTACTGTCTATTGGGAATCTCGGAGACCTGTTTCTTGTTTGCTTACAGGCCTTGAAAGGGAGCTACAGAGGATACGTGTCACTTCTCACACATGTTTTTTAAGGACCATAACCTCTGTATCCTGGGAAGAATCCTCCCCTCTACGAGCAGGGAGCAGCAGCTGCATCTACTTCTGACTAAGGGCCACACAAACACCCAAATGTTGGTTTTCTTCAGACCTGCTCTGCAGCTCTGGGCTAAAACCACTCCAGAAAGCCACCCTGATGGCATTCCCTCCAGCTTCTGCACGGAACAGGAATCCCACAGCAGCCTCCTGCTCAGTTTTCCTGCCCACCTCTCCTGGGACAACAGAGTTAAGTAAAAAGAGGGACAGTTCTTTGAATTTGGATTCTCCCAGAGCTTTGGACTGCACCTCATGGAGGCCTACAGCACCTGAACGTCACTGTCCCTCACTGGCCTGAAGCTGCACAGACTCAATGCCCACTCACGGAGAGGTGAAAGCCACCACAATCCATTCCTTTGCCTTCAGAATCAGTGGTGTCATTTTGGTGCCATTAAAAGGAATGCAACAGGGTGGTGAATTATACTATCTGCTAATCTAACATCAGTATTAGGGAGGATGTTTAAGCAGGAGCTGCTGGGTGAAACCATGGGGCACCACTGATAGGAGCCTTGACAGAGTGAGTGAGCAATAGGAGCTGGGGGACAACTGAGCCAATTTAAGTCCCTTGTTGTAAATCTGCTGACACATGGAGAGCTCAGGCAGCAATGGGAACAGAGCCCTGGAACAGAGGGGGCTGCTCTGCAAGGCAAGGATGGGCTGTTGGAGCAACTAAGCTGAAGGCTGAACAATCCCTTTGCAATGGGACAGGGCTGAGCCATATTCTCTGGAGAGGACACTCACCCAGGTGGGCAGTCCAAGCACTCCTGGAGGCTCCTCAACCCACTGAGGTTGCTGTAAGTCCCTGCAGGACAGGGGATGGGTGAGGGACAGCCGGGTGGGCAGTAAGCCCCAGCAGGACACACGTCTCCTGTCACACCATCTGTGGGCAGCTGGAATTGGAAAAGGCATCATTCAAAACAAGGAGGAACCAGGGTTCAGGTGTTTAGAGCATCATCCAGCTTTGGGCCCAAGGCAAGACAGGAAAACAGAGACAGACAATACCTACTTGAGGGAAATGCAGTAAACACAACATGAATAAATGGATGTTTCCACAGCAGCATCCCACTGGAATTCACATCCACTCGACTTTTGGTTTTAGTTAAGGGGATGTTGGTGTTGAGAGGGACAGATAGGACGTGGCTGCACTCCCTTTGAGGGCTGCAAGTGGTCCTCATGCCATCAACCTGGGGACTTACCTTGAAGGTCTTTTCCAACCTAGTTGATTCTATGACTCTATGTGAGCAGCACAGAATTGTGACTCTTGAAGTCACCGAGCTAATAAAAAGCACCACAGTGGGGAAAGAGCCACCACACTGGAGCACAATTAGATAAGGAGGAAAAGAACTTGCCATGAGACTTACTGGTGTGAGGGCTCTGCCCTGGCAGTAGAATCCAGCCTTACAGGGACCACTTGGCCCAGTCTGTCCTGGAGCAGCACAGTAGAACCCACGGGCACATGGGCTGCACTCTGAGGGTCCAGATAACCACTGCCTGCCACTGTATGTCCCCTCAGGGCAGGGTTCAGGTTTAGAGCTGCCTTCCACACAGTAAAAGCCCTGCAAATCAAAGTCAGCTTAATACAGCACTTCAAGCTCTTCTATTAGACCCCCACATACCAGCTTCTTCCATAAGGTAACTAAGAAAGAACAACTCACTGCTGGGCAAGCTTTGGGCTCTGGCATGGCAGGAGAGTCACAGTAGTACCCAGGTGGACACGGTGTGCAAGGGTCTTCACCCTCTGTGCTGGAATTATCCCAGAAGAAGCCTGGCATACAGGGGAAGGAGAAAGGGAATCCAGTCCCCGGAGGGCAGCGATAGCCAGGTGGGCAATCCCCTGTCTGGAAAGCAGAATACACACTCAGGCATGGCTTTGTTGTCCTCTTCTGAGTAGGGAAGAGGAACCTCCTAAGATTCGACTCCAAAAGAACCAAGCTTAATCTTGAATAACCTGGCATCTTTTAATACAGGGAAATGGGGCAGAAAAGAAGGGGAAGGAGGGAATTCACAGTCTTATCAGTAAAACTCTGACCATGTAGGATCATTATAGGTGAGGGGTTTGGAAGGTAAAAACTTGTCATTGAGACAGGCCCTACATGGTGTCTATACAGCTGTGGGGAAGACGCTCTTCTTCCACACTTGGAAAAAGGGCTGGAACTGGGATAAGAGTTATCCTCTTGCTCCTAAATGAAAGCACAGACTCACCCATGTGGAAGAGAAGAGGATTCCTTTTTAACAGCTATTAATATTGGAAGAGTTCATTCTTTCCAGAGACAAAATAATCACCCTGAAAGATCCCCAAACTCATGAGATACAGAGCAGTACCAGCTCCTGATCGCTGTCCCCTCTTTCATAGCCTGCTTTGACAGGCACAAGGTTAAGTAAAGACAAAAACCATGCATTAAGCTCACTCCATTTACAGTTGTAGCCTTTGGAGAAGAAAAAAATCAGGAGGAGCTGGGCTCTACTTACAGGGTTGGGAATTCCTGGAGGCTCAATCCCCTCTCTGTAGCAGTACTTCCCCATGGGACAGGGCAAGCATTCAGCAACACTGCTCAGACCCATCTGCTCACCATAGGTCCCACTGGGACAAGGCTTACCCTTGAAATGAAACAGAAGAATGGACCTTTACCATACTAATACGACTGGGAACAAACAGTGACAACAGGCACTAGGAATCTGGGATGAATGCTGAAAAGATGGTACAATGGAATGGAGATCCAATGCTCTGGACTGTGCACAGAAAACATTATCCCAGTATTAGCAACAGTTGGATGGAGGGCAAATATTGCTAGGGTCTGTGAACACCAAGAGTACAGAAACCAGTTCAGAGGCTATTGGGAAAGGCTCCTATAGCAAGACAAAGCCCAATGCAGACTGTAACTGCACAGCCAACTCGATCCCAATCCCAAGGACCAAAGCAGACTCACTCACAGTGTCTCCCTGGGGACAGTAGTATCCTCTTGGGCAGGCATTTGCACTGGTGTCTGGAACAGCAGCCTGTCCTTGTGGGCACAGCAGACCCGCTGGGCAAACCATGGCTAGGAGCATCACCTCCGAGCTGGTGTGCTCTCCAGCACAGTAATGTCCCACCAGGCATGGCAAGCAGGAGGCTGAACCTTGGTCCTACAACAGGGAAAGCACGTGGTTCTACTTCTCAAGGGCAAAAGAACCCTTGCACAATTGGTAATGCTACCAGAGACACAAAGAACTCCCACCTAAGCTAACGTGTGAGCAGCAGGCAGCTTACAATTCAGTGCATTCACCCTGCAGGTGAGAAAACCTGGCCTTCACAAATAAGAAGCAGGTTCCACGGTTTATCGAGGCAAAAGGATCTGATGCTCAGAGCAGTCAGTCCAACACCCCTTGCCAGCAGGAGCAGAGAACACAGACACATCCCCTCCTCTTTCTCTGTTACACGGAACTCCAAGGTGCAAACAAGAAGGAATCTCTTTGCTGTCCATAAATCTCCATTCACCATTTCCCTCCTCTCTCATCTTAGTAAGGGTTCCAGTGGTAACTACCAAATCTGTGCAGTGATGGAAAACTGGCCTGCATGAAGATACTGGGGTCACCTGACAGAAGTGAAGAGCCCATCAATGGGGAAACATGGCAATTAGCACTAGATTATTGATGCTGGTTTTGGGGTAGACAACTCAGAAACAGGCCTCAGCACCTGCTTGTGCTGAGGGCCATTGCTGCTCCCTGCTGTGGCTCCATCTTGCTTAACTGACAGCTTGACTCCACTGCAATCAAATGCTTCCCTTGGAGCAGGAACCAACTCTCCTTTCTGCCAGGGTCAAATATGCCATGAAAACCCAAAGTCCCTGCTCAGCTACACGACAGATGTACTCAGATTGCTGGTGCTAGCCTCTGGAGTGGGAATAACAGCAGAAGCAGCATTGCACACATGGTATGTACTTTTAGCACCCTGTCTGGAGCACATCTCTGTGCTAGCACTTTCCCTCCTTACTTGCAGAGTCAGCACATGTGGCCAGTATTGCTCACAGCACTGGATACCATCTCCCCAAATCGGAGCCATCACACAAGGAGATGAGCTCACTCCAGTGCCTCCTTTTGAGGCACTCAAAGCCTCAGGCTCCCCTTGAAGCTCCCTTTCTGCCAGATTTCAGTCCTTCTGCTCAGCAGGTGCCAGGAGAAAATGATAGTTACTTACTGAGAAGTTGCCAGCACCGCAGGGTTGAGGAGATACGGTGCCCAGCTCAGGGCAGTAATACCCTCCAGGACAAGGGGTGCAATCTGCAGCCACTGCTGCACCATGTTCTGTGCGATAGGTTCCTCTGGAGCAGAAAATCCAACAGAAGAGAGAGTCACAACAGCAGCAAAATGATCCAGTGTCTGAAGGGGGCTACAAGGATGCTGGAGAGGGGCTCTTCATCGGGGACTGGAGTGATAGGACAAGGGGTGATGGGTTCAAACTGAAACGGGAAGTTCAGGTTGGATACAAGGCAGAAGCTCTTCCCTGTGAGGATGGAGCGACACTGGCACAGGGTGCCCAGAGAAGCTGTGGCTGCCCCATCCCTGGCAGTGCTCAAGGCCAGGTTGGACACAGGGGCTTGGAGCAAGCTGCTCCAGTGGAAGGTGTCTCTGCCTATGGCAGGGGTTGGAACTGGTTGAGCTTTAAGGTCCCTTCAACCCAAACCATTCCCTGATTCTATCACAGCACACCTCTGGTCTGGATCCTCAGTCTTCTGTATAGGGGAAATCTACCATTTCTGGAGGCAAGAAACTCCCTGATTCAGAAAAATCCTGCCTGGACCAGCCAGTAACACACAAGGTCAAAGAAACACTGCTGGTGCAGAAAGCTATTATTTAAACCCAGAAGTGTTCTGAAATGCCATGTAGAAGTGCTTTCTTTTGTAACTACACAGCTATGCAGCACATGGGATGCACTTACACTGGGCACAGAACTGGCTTGGAGGTCCCACTGGGGCAGAAGGCTCCCGCGGGGCAGGCAGCACAATCTTCCACTCTCCCATTTCCCAGCCTGGGGGCATAGGTTCCTGCGGGGCAGGGGTACTGTGTGCCCCTCTGTGTACCTTGCCAGAAAGAGGAGAAAACCAGCCTAGTTCTTAATACAGCTCAAAGACAGGAGGCAATAACCCCCCTGCTCTTCACTGCTGTTATTTACACGAGTTACATGTAAATATGTATTTCTATATACAAAAATCACTGCTCGCAGCTCTGAGAACAACAGCAACAAAATCACCACTTAGCAAAGAGTGCCGAATCTCTGCAGGAAGCTTCCCATTTACAATTGCAGCAGATATTTGCATCTGAATTCTTTGCCAATGAAGGGAAAGAAAACAATGCCAAAGTGCTCTGTGCAAACAGTGTGTTTACTAGACAGAAGGGACCTTTCGTTACCAACTCCCCATCGAAAACCCAGTGAGAAGATCCGCTGATAAAGCCAGGTGTGATTTCATCAGAGCCCAACACCGTTTCTAAGGACAGAAGCACACTAAAGCTCCTTCACTCCTACCCTGAGGGCAGTAGTGCCCTGAGCTGCACATCCCAGTAGGAGAACGGGCTCCTCCGAAGCAAAACCAGCCTGCAGGGCATGGGGAGCACTCCTCTCCTGAGGTCAGGCTTGTCCTGTTGCTCCAGGTGCCTGGGGCACACTTGTGCTGCGTTGGGTGCTTGGTGCCTGGTGGGCAGTAGTGACCAGCTGGGCACGGAGTGGGGGGCTTCTGCTTCCCCCCTGTTCCTGTAACACACATTGAAGACAAGCAATGTAGCCTGAAGCTGGCTTTACAAAGCCCAGTTCCTCTGCTGGGTGACCCTGAGTGAAGTCCTCCCCTCATTTTGCACCTTTCCTCTATCTGAAAGAGGGTAACAAGAATTACATCCGCTCATGAGGGATTCTGTCAGAGCTGGTTACTAAAGCAGCTTTTCATCAGTTTAAGTATCCTATGTGGTGTCTCTGTCCAAAGCAGGAATCGATATTAAAGCCACCAACAAGCTAAAAGCTTTGAAGACATTAAAGGCTGGCCACTTTGAGGCCATGAAGTTAAAACAGTCACTCTGGGGGGCATAAAGAGAGAACTTGAGAATAAATTTACCTTGTCCGCAGGGCAGAGCGATCTCTGCAGTACCACTTCGGGCATCTTTTTCCCATTTACCATCATTGTGATACCTCATTGACCTGTTCTAGGATTTCCCAGTGGGCTCTCTGACACCAAAGAACACAGTTTACCTGGCCATGAAGCCCCTCCTTACCTCTCCCACAGGCAAATCCAGCTGGGCATGTTTCACACTGGGACTTCTCAAAGAGGTTGAAATCATTGCCAACTGTTCCTGGAGGACAGGCATTGCTGGGAGAATGAGGGCTGGATGACCCTGCTGGGCACACGTACCTGACAGAACACAGCAGCAGGGTAAGCTTTGGTGCAAGAAGGAGACAAACTCTGTGCCCTGTGACAGTATTAGGATGAGTGCTGCAGCTGGGGAGATGCAACACAGTGAATGGAGTGGTTGCGTCACACACCTTTCATCTAAAGAAAAGTGGGTTATTCAGCCAGGTTGTGCTGTTCACAGCCAGGGGATGTGGGGCCTGGCTTCATCCTTGGCTAATTTTATAACCTACTCTGTGGCAACAGCAGGTAGCATTGCCCTCCATCAGAACAGGCTACATCAACACTGACTCAGCAGTGATGTCTTGACACAGCAGCACCACCTGCACCTCTTGACACATGAAACAAAACCAGGGGAGGTGAAATACATGCACAGCCATCAGCAGAAGCACAGGAACCAAGCCAGGCTTACCCCGGTAAGCACTCAGCATCAGGCTGGGCTAAGGCAGCCTGGGTGCAAGCTCTCCCTGCTGGGCAGGCTCTGCAGTCAGTGGCTTCATCCTGGCCTTGCAGAGGGTTGTGTGTGCCTGGCTGGCATGGCACTGGGTGACTTGCTCCAGCAGGGCAGAAATACCCAGCAGGGCACTTCCAGCACAACCCAAGTCCTAAAGAGAGACAGAAAGAAGACCCAAGGTAAGGTCCCCAAAGAAACCCCCAGAGGGTCCCATGAAATGTGCTTCCTTTGCTTGAATGATGGAGGTTCACTTGTACCAACAATGAAATCACTGCAATGCCAGAAGGTGGTGGTGTTGGATTAGCTGAATGCTAGTGAGGTTTAGTGGCTCATGGAAGCAGTAAAACCATCTGGGTTGTGTTCTGTGACAACAGGACAAGAAATGAGACACATTAAATATAAAACCATCAGCCTTAAACCGTGCTCTGCTACAGGTACATTTAATAACCCTCATGCTCAGGCCTCTGCTGCAGCAGAGCCAGGGGTTTTCCATGTTTGTATGGGGTTTTCCATGCTTCACAGACTGGAGTACACGTGGATACCTTGTTTGAATGACAAGCAGTGAGCTGTGAGCACCCCTAAAATCCTGGCTGATGAACAGGAGGCTTGCATTAGGAATGTGAGTAAGATCAAGACGTAATGAACCAACGATTCCTTCCTGCTGTTACCATGCTCAGAAAGTGCATTTCACCACAGGATGCCCCCAGATATCTCACTGGGTGAAGAGGAAACACAACTTTAGCACAGGAGTAGTCACTCTCCTCCTGCACGAAGCAGCTTGAGCAATTCAGGGGGCAGGGAAACACTGGCTGATGGAGTACTCCCAGGTTGAACCCCTTTCCCAAATGCTTGTTGAGGCCAGGCTCAAGCGCATCCCAGTGTGTATGTGCTTCTGCAGGCTGGAACAGAGCTCTCCAGCACCCCAAAATGACCAGGATTTATCCAAGCCTAGGTTTCCCCCTCCACAGATAGAAGGTGCAGGTCCACATCAGGATTCCTCAGGGTGCAAAGCAAGTTCCAGGGTCACCTCTGCCTTCCACCCACTCGCTCATTCCCAGCCCACAAAAACCTCATGGTTTCCCCCTTACCTTTACTCCACACGGCCCAAAAGGGCACAAGGGTCCAAAACCTGGCTAGAACCAGGTCTGAAGTTCTCAAGGCTACAAAATCCCCCAGCTCTGAGCACAGCAATGGAGTCAATGCAGCTGAGGGGGGCTGCAGCCTCATGGAACTTTAAGCATTGCCTTAAGATGGAAACAGCTGCATGATGGGGGGCTGTCCCGGCAGCAAACCCAGTGGGAATGCCATCTGACAGAACCGGAATCCACACCACTTAGCTCAACCATATGAGCCATCACCTGCCTCATGACAGCATACATGAAATACTCAGGGTTTATTCACAGGTCCCCTCCTTTGCAGGTGCTGTCCTGCCTTTCCAAGTGCTCCTGAGGATAGCTGACATCAGTACCTAAAGCAGTACAGGCCTAACAGGACCACTGAGCAGCTGCACACAGGGTTTCTGCTCCTACCAGTGCACATGGTGGTTTGTGACCCTGGATAAAACATCCTGGACTTGGACCAAAGTTTACTCGAGTGAACTGAGCTCATCCCCTGAGCACCCCTCTGAGTGTCTCTCTTTTCCCATTGTCCAGCACTGTGAAGGAGAAAGCAGCAATTTCTAGACCTTTGTGAGCCACTGAGTTACTTGCAGTGTTCAAACCCAGGCAGAGCTTGCCTCAGCAGCATGCAACTGCTGCAGCAGAAAGCCAGCTCTCCCTTTCCATGTCTAAGCAAAGATGTAGTTACCAAGCTCCATTATTCTGTCCTAGATTCATTTATCCATTACTAAACTGCAAAATCCAATCACCTTCCACAAGTTTCCCAATCACGAGGGGAACTCAGCCCAAAGGAAAGGTCACAGAAGAGAGCTGGAAACCTGTGGGAGCCTTGTGCCTACCTCCTTGCATGCATTTCAGAACACGACATGCTGCTTCATCTACTTGGCACTATAAGAACTCTTAAGGGCAGGGCTTCTACAGTTCTGAAGGCTTCAATTCCAGTGTTTTCTGACCGATATAATGAAGTTTTGCCTAATCTGTAACCTTATTTCCCTTTGCTATGAGAACTGTGCTATAAAAGGTGGCTCATGCAAAGCTGACACAGTTGAATAAGCTTTAGCAACAGGCAGCTGCTGACTTTGGCTTCACAGCTGATCTGTGGATGCCTTTAGCACAATGTGTCAGGTTGCTCCTTGGTTTTCTTCTGCTCAAAGTACAAGCATCACTTTTCCCTGCCATGGCAACTTCTTTCAAGTCTCTTCATAGGGCAGAGATCAGGGTCCAAGTCCACAAGTGATGTAAGTGAAGTGAAATAAGGGGACAGTAACTTCTAGATGTAACGGCATTGCAATCCCCAAATGCTCCACCACAAATCTGGCGATTCATAGGCAATTCCATAGGTGGTCCTTTCATGCAGAGCTCTAGGACTGCCTGAGCCAGAGCCTAGTAAATACACACTGTAACTGCCAGCCCCTTCACAAGAATGTGATTTAACAGACTGATTTACAGTGAGAATTATAACCCCAGTGCCCAAAATGAAGACCTTTTATGACACAGACCTGGCAAGCATGAGGAGCTGCTGCTGCTGGGGGGGTGAAGCTCCTCTTTGGGCTTGAAACTCCCTGCTGGGCATGGAGGGACTGCAAGGCCATCAGGACAGAAGTGACCTATAGAGAAGAAGAAAACAACCTGTGGTTCAGCAATGCCATTGTAAGTCAGAGCAGCGTGCTGCTGGGTTTCTTGCACACTGACACATGTCTGTGTTGCAGGGGATAAATGGGAAAGCTCAAGTATTCGTGGCTAAATCATATCATGGTGTCTGATGGTTGCACCCTGAAGGCTTGGTTCTGCAATAGAAGCAGAGATGCATGGGCATAATCAATGGCAGAAACCAGCAGGTTGCTTTAGGGAGAAGCAGCACATTACAGACAGCCCAAATCTTTGGGTTTGGAAATTTTGACAAGATTTGATAACTTCTCATCCACTTCCCATCCAAAAGTGTTTCTTCCTTAGGTAAAACCTGAGCTGGTGATTCAAATCCAATTCAAAACATACAGTGACATTCCCACCTAAATATCCCAGTTAGTTTTATTAGTTGGCATTATCAGAGTTAATTCTTCTCTTTTTATTCCAATTCTTCTGCTCTCTCCAAAATGGAAAGATGAGCTGAAGTGCTCCTGCTCTAAGGACCACATTCCTCTTTCCCTTGAGATCCTCCTGCCAGTTGCACATCTAGTGATGAAATGCTCATATCCAGCTACAATGAATTGTTCTTTCCAAGTAATGCCTTGTAGAACTTGAGTATCAACTAGTTTCTAATGTCCAGATGGATATTTGAAGAGTGAAAAGAAGGATTTAACTCTGACACAGAGTGCCACTGCCAAGTGCAAATGTGTTGCTATGTATTGGAATAGCAATGACACATTATTCCCATGCATACAATGCTGAGTACACAGATTATATGGAATTAAACTCAGGCAAACCATGAAATATCCCACTGGGAATCCTCAGGTCTCTCCTGCTTGTGGTGGTAGTCAAACTCCTTACCATCCAGGGGCTTTGCAATGGGGCTGGATGACTTATTCTGATTGAAGGACACAAGAGGTACTCATTTAACACTGAATTTCACACTGGGATCCTTGGCATATATTGAACCTGTTGAGCATCAGGAGATCTGCACTTGCTCTCTCAGGTTTTGTGGTTGATAGACTGGAGGTGAAACCTGACCGCAGCCTTTGGCTGATCCTGTGCATGGCAGGAACAGAACTCCTTTGTTCTGTCCTCTTGTCTCTCTATTATAACTAAATCTAAACTCCTGAGATCTTGCTCTAGCACAATCTCTTTAGCTTCTCCATTTCTCCTTCTACTGCACAACACGTAAGGTACCCAGAGTACAGGAACTCTTCATTATTTAATAAGAGGGATTCTAATTACAGACACAAGAATCAAGTTACTGAGTTGAGTGACTCTGCAGGAGGCACCTGGAGCTGTGTAGGGCTTACAGGAGAAGGAAAAGCATGATAGGACTGCAGATCACAAACTGCATCTCTGTAGTAACAGCTACCCCATGCTCTCCCTGTAAGGCCAGGGTGCTAGGAAATGAAGCCTGAGGGTGTGTGGAGGGAACTCTTAGTGATATTCCTGCTACTGCAGCACCCAACTGTCCCTCTTACCAAGGACTGTGGTGAAGAAGGGAGCAGAACTGATGCTGAGGACCTTGGAGGGACACCAAAGCACTGCACTGTACCACAGGAAAGAAGCACGACGGGAAGCTAATATTGGGCTACCAAATCCTGTCTAGGCTTATACTCATTCTCCGGGATGTATAAGGGATTTTAATGCTGCAGAAAGCTCTCTTTTTATGGGGAAACTAAGCCAAGCAGCCATTCAGTACCAGGACAGCTTAACCTGCAGTGTCACTGAAGAGCTGCACGCTCCCAGTCTGGACAAACACAAAGCTTTGGGGTTTTGTACTGGGATTATCCCCAAACAAACACTCACAATGTAAGTTAAGGTGCTTTCACAGTTACTCCATCATTTCCTTTTGGCTAAGAAAGCACGTGAAATGACATTCTCTGCCCTGTTCTGTTCCTCTGCTGCCTAATTTTGCATCAGCATCTCAGCGAGGAATTTGTGCCCCCCCAATGACAACACACTGCTGCTGCCTAAACATGGGCCTGTTTGGATTTCTTTGAGAGTGTCAAGCAGAGAGAGGAATTAGGTAAAAAACCACAGCGTGGCCTTATTTGATTCCGAATGCTACAGCACCCACTATAAATGGGTATTAGTGATAGCCTGTGAATCCAGCTCCTGAAGTGGAGAAAGACATAACTGTGTGTGAATCAATTTCACAGATGATCAGTTAAAACCCACAGAGAGGGAGAGCTTTCTGGGAGGAAAGAGGAAGCCAACGCTTCCCTCATGGCTCAGCAGCACTTGAGGAACTTGCTTTTCAGGAACCCTTCTTGATGCCACTGCTGGTTTTAACCCCTGGGGTTGCTGTCCCACAAGGAGCCAATCTCTGTTCCCAAACTGCCAGCTAAGCTTTACCAGAGCAGAGTGCCATTGCAGGCTCCTTAGGGTCTAATGCCTACAGAGGACACGGTGAGATGTACCTACCTGCTGGGCAGGGCTGGCACAGCAGAGGGTCTTCCCTTGGGAACGGGCTGGGAGCGGAGGTTACACACTGAGTGCGGCTCGGGTTTGGCTGCTCACCAGCCCCACAGTGCTAAGGGGAAGAAACACAAACTGAGCCCACCACAAGGTCCAAATGGCCATTGCTGCCCAAAGCTGGGTCCCAGGGAGGCCCGAGGCATCAAAAAGCCTTTCATTCTATCTCCTGCTTCCTCCTTGTCTGCCTCTTCCCTTCCCAGCACCAGGGAAGTAAAAAGAGTACTTCAAGCTCCAGGCTTTTTGAGCCCTCAGCTGAGGGGTTTAGTGGTGGCAGATAATCTGAGCACTAACAGCCTCACAATTTAGATGAGAAACGTTTATTTCTATTAATAAAGACCATTTGTAGAAGGCCTTAGGTCTACTGTACACCACTGAAGTGTACTGAATGCTTTTCCTTGAGGGAGAAAGGTCATATCCTACTATTAAAGCAGGGAAGCCTGACTTGTCCTGACAACACACTTCTGCCTACCCCAAGTTTGCCCTTGGAGAACACCACACTCATTCTGTACCTGTCTGCTCTGTCCATCCGGGCAGATGTAAGTCTCTGGACATTCCTGGCACTCCAAGTCTCCCTCTGGTGAGTAGTGACCAGGAGCACAGCTCCTCTGCACACCGCTTTGGGGATGGCAGGAATATCCCTCTGGACATGCACGGCACCCAGCTCCACTCTCCAGGCTGAGGTAGCCACTGGGACAGACCTGCAGTAGGACCACAAGGAGCATCAGATCCACGGGGACACATCCTTTGCATGATCAGTGCAAGCCACTTTCTCTAAGCCAAATCAGAGACAAACAGTGCAGGAATATCCCGAACAATGTCAAAGTGGGCTGTAAAATCTGGGAAGCAGCCTGATGGTTCAGAATAGGTGGGAATAGAGGCAGAAAGCACGACTTGCTGCTTGCTCTGTCCCCCAGCTCACCTGGCAGGCAGTGATGTCTGTTTGAGCTGTAAGTACATTGGCTGTTCCCAGTGGGCATTTCCTTGGAGCTGCTTGACCCCCAGGGCAACTGGATCAGAAATAAAGAAGTTGGAAACCTGAATCCAAACAACATCCCTGCCCCTCCTCAACACACACAGGACACAAGATCTGCCCTAAGCAATAGCAAAGGGAAACTGGTTTTGTACATTCCCCACTCCCATTGACTTCGAGGGCTGTTCTGGATGCTGTAGAAAGCCCTTTTAAGTCAAAGGGCAGTTTAAGTCAAAGACAGTGGATTCCTCATCACCTATAAGGGACTGGGCACCATGCTTTGTGCCCCACCTCCTGACTTGCATTGTAAGGCTGCTCTCAGGATATCCTGAGTAAAAATGATGTCCCAGGTGTTCAACTCCCTTCCTGCAGTGCCCAGCAGGAGGGAAGGAGAGATGGAGACTTACTAGAAACCTGTTGGACATTCCAAGCAGTTGCCAGCTGTGTAGTAATATCCCTGCCTGCAGTCTATGAGGCAGTGGGTCTGGCAGTCTGTGCTACAGCCTGGGGACAGGGAAAAGGCTCCTAGAAGAAAGCAGAAGAAATAAATGCAGGTACAAATTCAAGACTCCAAGTTAATGGCCAGTTATTATCACACCATAATGTGTCATTAGTGTTAATGGCACTAGTAGTACTACAGCAACGGCTTTTATTGTTAACAACATTCCTTTGCCTTTATAGAAGAATGGTGGCTATGAAAGGCACACAGCACCCCACCATTTCACCCAGCCCTCTCGAGGATGTCTCTTGACTTCCTATACCATAAGAGAAAGGTGATAAATACAAAGATGCTGAAACCTGAACTTAAAGAACAGAACAAACCCTGAGTTACTGTTGCCCTTTCTGCGCTCCATACTTTCTATGTTGAAAACACTGCCATGCTTAGGTTTTTTTCTCTCTTCAGACAATCAAAACCTCTTAGTGAATACATTGAATACATCCCCCACCTTCTCCTGCCTTCTCCCTGAGTAAATTCCCAGAAAAGACTGGCAGAATGGCAGTTACATTCATCTCTTTATGACCAGAACGAGCCACATGTCTGCATGTGTACATATATACACAACCACCATCTCTATTAGCTTATAGCTTTCTGGAGGTAACCATATCAGCACCACTAAAGCCAAAGTAAAACCAAACCAGACTAAACCAGCAGTCTGCCAGTATGAGAAAGTTATCCACTCACCTCTCAGCAAGATCCCAAGGCTGCAGCAGAACGCCAGCCAACTCCAAGCATTAGCCATGGGGACTAGGAAAGAGCCCTTCAAACAAAGCCAGGCTTAGAGCTTATGTTTAAAACATTCCCTGAGCATCTGGTGGTGCTTTTGTTGAAGCTCAGTGTAACCAAACCCCTCCCAGGTAATCATTGCCAATCCAGCCCGAAGTGAAACCAACACCCAGCTGCGGAAAGAAGAGATGGCCCCAGAGCTCATCCCATGGGAGCTCCCCTGCAGCATTACTGATGCTAAAAGTGAGGAAACCCATTTCAACGGGAGATAATGAATCCATACCTCCTAAACATCTGCTAGGGAGGGAGCTTGCAATATACTTGCCATCATCTCGCAGACCTGTCTGGCTGCCCAACAAGATGACCCCATGAAAAGGACCCCGTAGGGCCCCATGTATCTTCTTTTTCTTCACCATTCAGGTGAAACGCCCCCTGCTCGCTGGCCATTTGTTCTGCAGTTTGAAACCCCAGACGGACTCTTCCTAAGCCAGGATTCTCCCTGGTAATGTCCCCTGCCCGCTAGGCCAGTTTTCCTTTTCCTGGACAACTCTTTGAGGAGGCACAAGGCGAAATGCTTTTAGGAATAACATGGAAAACATGAAGTTCAGTACCTGCTCCAATGAAGATAGTTTCTCTGTAAGTTACAATACTCTTTGTTCCATACTTCCTATAACTTCCTGGAAGCCAGAGACCGATGAGGGCTTTGGAAATAGTCTGATTCCTGGTATAATTCCAGTCCAGGAGCCAGTCCAAGGCTCACACGACATTACTGGGGTCTGGAAACCAAACAGATCCTTCTTCCTCCATACCACCTCCTAAAGAGGCCTGTACAGATACTGAGGGGTCTTCTCACCTCTGCAAGCCTTCTGGAAGGGAGCTGAGGCCAGCTACAGAGGTCAGGGAACACAAAGCTCCTGGTGGGAAGGGCAGTCCCCTATGGAACAACACGGCTTCAGTCTTCCCAGCTGGGACCAGAACATAAGGGCCACATTATCCTTGAATTGTTTAAGTCCCCTGATGGGAGGTTATATCAGAGCATCTCCAGCCGCAGGGAGAACTCAAAGCACCATGGCTGAACATGTACAGGGAGGCCCCATGCCTGCCTTCCTCCCTAGCCAAGCACCATCTGCTGCATTTACACTGCCCTTCATCGAATTCCTCCACTAGAACTCAGATGTGTCTTGGGGTTTTCCCTATTCTACAAACAGTTCCTGGAAATCTCTGTAATTCTCTTGTGTTGCAGAGAAGAACTGCCAATTCAAAGCTCACCAACACAGTGTAAATGCAGGCGCCAGGCCAAGCACTTCTCATTCTCTTCCCCTGTTGACCTGCTTGTTCTGTGTACTTCAGCAAGCTCAGGAAAGATGGAAGATGCAATAGAAGGCAGCAACGAGAAGACAAACGGTTCCATTCACTTTGCCTTGTTTCCAGTTCCCTAACTCACTATAGAACCCTCAGATTTATGTAGAGATAGCTCCCAGGTCCAATTCACTCCTGTGGCATGCACTAGAGCAAGGCAAAGAAGGATCTGCTGTTTCACTGCAGTCTCATGTGAGGGATGAAATGCCGACCTTGTGCTAAAAGATGGTCCTACCTCTGCTTAACCAAACTGGAGCTCTGATGGGACATCACCCCCCTGCTAGTATAGATTGTGAATTGCCCACCTCTCCAAACAGGTTCTGACATCCCTGTGCTCTACACCAAGCTTGAATGAGCAGCTCTGTGCCTGCCCCTCCTAGTGCTGTGAGAGAGATGTGCCCCTGGTGTGCTTCCTTCCAAGTGCACTGCTACAGAAGAAGCTGGGACCCGCTCCAGAACACCGCGATTTACTTCCACAGAGCAGCAGCATCGCTCATCTGAAACATCACAAACCCCGGCACAGTTTATGCTGATGGTAAGACACAGCTCTCTACTCCTGGCTATAAAGCAAACAGAGCCTGGCTGTTATTTCATCCTCTTCTGTCAAGAAACAAACAGACACAGATTGAATTCTAAATCTGGGCTGCTGGATGCAATGCACAGGAACACGGAGACTCCAGCAAGGAAAATCAATAGGCATGTCCTCTTCTCAGTTGCAGGCATTGGAGGCCTACCAAATACCAGCATATTCCTCTGGGATACAAACCAGCTCAGCTTCCAGAACAGATATACTCATCTTCCCTCCACCAACAACCTGACTGTTGCTTCAAGCAGCCCACCTGCCTCTGTTTGAAAAGCTCATGTTTTTCTTCATCTGTTTGGTCAGTCACAGTATCACAGTATCACAGTATGTTAGAGATTGGAAGGGACCTGAAAAGCTCATCCAGTCCAATCCCCCTGCCGGAGCAGGAACACCTAGATAAGGATACACAGGAACGTGTCCAGGCGGGTTTTGAATGTCTCCAGAGAAGGAGACTCCACAACCTCCCTGGGCAGCCTGTTCCAGTGTTCCGTCACCCTCACTGAGAAGAAGTTTCTTCTCAAGTTTAAGTGGAACCTCTTGTGTTCCAGTTTGTACCCACTGCCCCTTGTCCTATCATTGTTTGCCACTGAGAAGAGCCTGGCTCCATCCTCGTGACACTCCCCCTTTATATATTTATATACACTAATAAGGTCACCCCTCAATCTCCTCTTCTCCAAACTATAGAGACCCAGCTCCCTCAGTCTTTCCTCATAAGGGAGATGCTCCACTCCCTTAATCATCTTATTTGCCCTGCGCTGGACTCTCTCCAGCAGGTCCCTGTCCTTCTTAAACTGAGGGGCCCAGAACTGGACACAATATTCCAGATGAGGTCTCACCAGGGCCGAGTAGAGGGGAAGGAGGACCTCAAGCCTAAGCACCCAGCCAGCTCTGCAGGAGCTGCAGGACTACAGAGAGGAGGAAAGCAGCATCCTTCTTCGTTTGAACACCAAAAATCCCTTCTGCTCAGCTCACAGCCAACAGCAATAAACTCCTGCGTGTGCAAGCAGCAGCACTCCTCACCTCAGGGCAGGTGAATGCACCGGGAGGGACGGAACAAGCTGGAGCAAGTCACCCTGAAATCAGTCACCGTTTCCATGTAGGCGTTAGTTACCATTTCCTCAGCCATCAAGGCTGATAAAGCAGCAGGTTTTGAAATGGGTGATACATAAATACCCCAAATTGCAGATACTTCAGCCCCAGCAAGCATTGCCAGAGGAAGGGGGAAAAGGAGGCACAGAAAGCTCAAAACTAGGGGAGAGACAGGAGGTAGAAAACACACTGGGAGTAGTTCTGCTATTCATTTGTATAGATATAAGTTGTAATAGCACCACCAGCTTATAGAGGTTTCTCTTCAGTGCAAAAGGAAAGAAATCTGTGACTTTGAATCAAACCAACTCTTGGTTCTTGTATAGAATCAGGAGCCAGCCGAACAGCCCTAGAGCAACTTGAGCACTGATGGCAGAAAACACAAGGTTTAACACAGGACAACCAAGCTCAGTGGCATGCTCAATACACACAAACACCATCCCAATCAGGGTGCCACACACAGAGCACTGAGCCACCCCTCCCAGACACTTCCCTGCTGCTGTACACCAGGTCAGGGCATCTACCCAACCATCTGATTGGCAGATGCTTGTATCATGGGATAAGCCAAAGCAACAAGGCAAGAACAGACTGATCCTTGTCTTGCCCTGCGCTCCCCACAGGTTTTGGCTGTCCCTGTAAACATGGATGCATAAAACACAGCCCAGGGCTGGCCCTGGATGTTGTCATAGGGCAGACAAGGCTTCCAGAATGCCATAAAGCCCACATCACCACAGGCTGCGTTTGCTTGGTGCACCCTGCCTCAGGCTGCCTTTGTTACAGTGATTACCTAATTACAGTGCAGTTAGTGGCAATTACACTCTAGTGAGACACTGCCGAAAACCCCTTATTTCTGTGTATTGCCCTTAGTGAGAAGGGGACAGGAAGGACTAAGCCCCTTTTGACCTCTGCTGCCCACAACCCTTTGCTTTCAGCTGCACCCAGCAGCAATGATAACTCCTGGTGTCTTCCAGCTCCTGATGGACATCACCCAGAGATGTGCTGTCAAAAGACACATCTGAAATCACACCCAACAGCCAATGGTGAGGGCTCCAGTGCTGGGAAACACAGGGAGAAGGTGGATTAACAAAAGTGTTTGGTGCATTGCCGGACAGTAAATAAACAGACAACCACATAAAGGCTGTTATTGACTTAGAGCTACTGCCTCCTGCTCCAGCAGCATGCTGGATTGAAAACCCTGCAGAAAATGAACCCAGTGCTCAGCTACCAGACCCAGGTGATGCTGGAACCACCTAGAGGAAGCAGGACGA